AGAGAGAGAGAGAGAGAGAGAGAGAGAGAGAGAGAGAGAGAGAGAGAAAGAGAGAGAGAGAGAGAGAGAGAGAGAGAGAGAGAGAGAGAGAGAGAGAGAGAGAGAGAGAGAGAGGTTTTATTTACTGGACTTAAAGCAGAAGGAAGCTCATCTTACTTTATTGTTTCTTCTCATCTGTGCACATTTTTTTCTTTTGCGTTTTTCATATGCATAGTGTTGAGTTAATGAGTTATTTTGTACCATAACATCTGCTGTAAGTGGAGCAGACGTTTTTCGCCAGCTTTTTGTTCATGGGGACGTTAGCCTGACTGTGACCTTGTAGGTCAACACTTTGCATCGAGAGAGCTTTCACATGTCTGTCTGTGGACAGTTTCTGTCTCCTTTGTGTGATTTTGACACCGTGAAGCTTTCAGGATTTGAAACATCCACAAAATGGCATTTCTTAAAGTTACATTTTTTTAATTTGGAGAACATGGAGACATGTTCAGACACAAACACAAAACGATGTAGTACTACTCACTAACAGTGTCTTCCTCCTCCTCCTCCTCTTCTTCCTCCACCTTTTTGGGCTTATTTGACTTTGTGTCAAAGGTCACTCCTTTCCGTGCAGGTCTGGCGCTGCGTTTCTTGGCTCCTTGGTCGTTTCTTTGGCCCTCCAGAATTCGTGTAAAATGCTGCACAGCAAATTCAACCAAGTCCGGCGGCTCGCGGCGAAGCACCTCGACCGTGTATCCCTGCAGCAGCTCTTTCAAACCAGCCGGTATCTCCACATTACTCATTGCACAGGTTGGAGTTTAAAACAAATAACCTCAAATCCAAACATCAAATATTTTGATGTGAAATATCTAAGCATCAGCTTGTCCCACGGATTTGATGAACATTCTTCTGTATGGAGCAAACGGACTCCCCCTCCTCTCGTCCCACTCTCTCCAACGTTTCAGCAGCTCATTGATTTCTTTATTTAGCTCGGCCTGTCGGAAAGTATTGACCTGGACTTTTCACATCAGATGTAATTAAAGGCCGTCCGATGGATAACGACTCAGAACTTGATGATTTGGCAAATAAACAACAGAAACAGAGAAGAGAGAGAAGATAGAGAGATTATCCTGGAAGTCAGGCTGCTGTTAAACGAGCCGCAGAAACAGACATCAGATAAATAACTTTAAAAAAGTTCAAGTGGTTTCAGATAGTTATTTGGAGTGTTGTAATGCTGTAGGTAGAAAAGCTGTTAGTAGAACTACCCTCAATTGATTATTGAAGTTGACATTATTTATTATATCTTTGACAGAAAGATGAACTGGTTCCACTTACTATGTTCTGTGCATTTTCATTCTTTTCTCTTTCAAATCCTTTGACTTATTGTCTTTTACATGTTTATTATCTCTCAGTCCGTTATTATTTGTTACAATTGTTTGAATAAACATGGACAGTCAAGGCTTCTTAGTTTTTTAAAATCCAAAAGAAATACTGAAATTAGAAAAAAGTGCACAACAATCTCATTTCTAAATATGGATTCTGTTTTTTTTAATTTCTTTACATTTTGACATTCATTTAATGTTCGATCAATGTCATTATGGCTACTCTCATAGTTTCACATGAACACAAACAGAAAGCGTAGCTAGCGTCACTGAGTGGAGGGAGGTGACCTCACAGGAAGCAGACAGATGTGACAGATGTGTATTGTCGAGAGAGACTGATCAAACACAGTAAAACATAGATCACCTTTTCCCTGATATGTACACCTGCTCGCAGATAACAAAAGGTAAGGCACGGCATGTCCACTTCACTCCTTTTGTTCTGTAAAAATAACAGAATATAAAGAAAACAAGTAAAACAAAAAGGAGAGAGAACATTCGACTGTGTGTGTGTGTTTGTGTACTGGTACCAAGTCATCACAACATCTCTGCGCCGCTTCCTCCGCAGGTCTGAATGATCCACACTATCTACAGTACCACGAGGTTTCAAACATAATCAAGCACATTGTTGGAAAACTGTTTAAATCTCTTTGTGATTCCCTGGTGTGTGTGTTTGTGTGCCGGTATTAACTGCATTGTATTAAACAGTTCTGTTCCTGGGATTCACATTTGAGGCGATGCTGAAACGTCCTCTCACAGGTCCGGTGAGAGCCAGTGCAGGAACTTCATTGCAAATTCAAATCCTAAGAAACAAGCCTGAAAAAGAAGAAGATACAAACAAAGCTAATCAGTTTGTGTATAAAAGTGCTGTAAAAAATAACAGATTTTAAGATAACTTGGTTTTCTTTGACAAAACGCACAATTATATTGTTGTTATTTACAGTATGTAGTAGGTCCCAATTGAATGCATGCCACAGTATTGCCTTTGTAAGAGCAGCTGGAGCATATACGAAAAGTAAAAAGAAAAAGTGAGAAAAGTGAGAGAAATGTGATTTGGAACGCAGCTTCGATGAAGTGCACTCACTGCGTTTGCAGGGAAAGCTCTAAGCATGACGGCGTTGAAGCCTTTGTACAGAGAGCCGACGCCCTCCTCTCTGATCAGCTCCCGCAGAACGTCCCGAAATCCATTGGGATATTTTCCTTCAGGAGCTGAGGGAGAGACGCATGAGAAAACTCAGTCACACACACACACATGTAAGACAGACCTGCTTGTAATACAAATGAAAAAAATTAAAGTTTTTTTTAGACTTGGTATGATACTTTTACTCAAGGGATATTTCAGCCTAAACAAATTGTAAAATAAAAAAAAAAATAAAAAACCTGTTTGGAAACGAGACTTGAGTACGTCGGCTGGAATTGCGACCGCCCAGTTAAAGATCCCGGCCATCCCTCCAGCAAACAGCACACTGGGAATGCTGAGCTCGTTATGGCTGCAGGGAGAAGACCACATGCTCAACTACTCAGAGGTCGATCTTACAATAGAACAGACGGTTGTAAACACTGCTAGGAAAGAACTAATATTCACCTTTTTCCTGCTGGTGTGAGGACGTTCTTCAACCACTCATAGGAAGTGAAGTACATCCCACTCGCTGGAACATCTGAGTTACAAAACAAACTTACAGGATTGTAGGCAAAATAATGATCACACTTCATGAAAATGAACTCAAACTCTGAAGAAACCTACTCAAGGTTACAAACACTGTTATATACTGTAACTATGTTTAAGTGCAGCAACCTGTCAGAACATGATTGAATATTTCAAGGAGAGGCGAAAAAGATGACGACGACAAACTGCCTCAAGAAAATGACGACATAACTTAAACTGTATAGTCCAGGAAGTTAGCATTGCACTTTTATAGCAATGTGAAACTCGTGATGGACAGTTAAAGTCCATGCAGTCTTCAAAACCTGGCTCCTACATTGTAATCTGCAACACTTTGTTGGAGAATCAGGTGTGTTATGCATGTAACGGCTAATGTAGCCTCGATTTATTTATTTCATTTTCAAACTTGAAGTCTTCAGAATTAACCGACGCCAACTTAAGTCACATTAGACTAAAAGGCTTCATAGCTTCATACGACTTGTTTTACATATGCAGTAATAGAGAGTTCCCCTTTAAAAAAGGTACCATGTGGAGCTTTTGACCTCTAGTAGCACTACAGAGCAACATTTCTAAGAATGAGTCCCTGCTTTAATGCGCACACACAAGGTCACATTTGTGCCGATTGTTTGAAATGAATTATTCTCATTACGTGATGCAGGCTCAGGTTTACTATCGATCAGAGTAAAGCAGCACCTCTCATGAGAGTCAGCGCGGTGCCTTTGTAGACTCCTCTGATCCCAAACTCTCTGTACAGCTGCTTGACACAGTCCATGGGTCCTGCATACTTCACCTCTCCTGTTGACGCCTGGATCTGCACACGCGCACACACACACACACACACACACACACACACACACACACACAGAAACACACACTTTACACTCACCGTCATTTCATTTTGTCATGTGGAATCTACTATAATTCAGCGCTGAGAACGCAGTGATTAGACCCTAATTTCTGCACAAACACATGACCTCTGACCTGTAGGAGGCATTTGATGCGCTCTCCAGGAGCCATGATGGCCGTGGTGAACACACCAGACAACATCCCTGCAGCAAACAGCTGTGGATACCTGCAGGGGACAACATACTTACACGTTATCACCTTTAGAGCGCTACAGCTGAATGAACAGTACGACCAACCACGTCAGGGAAATCACTTACGTAAGGATATCATTTGGTGTTTTCTGTTGTATTTTCTTGCCCATTCCAAATCCAAAGAAACAGACAGCAAACATGGGTGTGACCCCAATGATCGGGGCCGCCATGCCTTTATAGAGTCCCTTCACACCCTGTGAGGGAAGAAGATGACAAGGAAACATCAGCATGAGGGAGGAAAGACATTTTAGACAGTGTTTTATCTATAATGTCGCAGATGCTAAGGCAGCATGGATCCCCACCTCTTTGGCCAAGGTCTTCTTAAGACAATCGAAGGTTCCAGCGTACAAGAGGCTCTGTCCAGGTTTCGGTTTGGGCTGAGTCTGCAAACGCACCTGAGAGAGGAAGGAGAACGCACTTTGTATTGACTTTAGATGCAGAGAATCCAGCATCACAGCGGCAGCAGTTTGGACCGCATTATGTGCACCCTGAAAGCCAGGTCCATAATAAAAACCCTGATCTCAACCCCACCCGACACCTTCGGGATGAGTTTGAACACCGGCTACGAGCCAGACTGTTAACAAGTCCAATATTTAGAGAATAAATAGACTTAATGTGCCAGAGACACAACTCCGAATGAATGCTGATGTTGCTCTGTGTCTGCTTGATGTGTGAATATGCAAGTATGTTCAAGATGTGTATACAACTTACTCTCCTCTCAAGTGGCCCAAACAAATGCCGGTTTAAAAGAATGGTGACAATGGTGTGAACTGGGCAGCAGACTTTAAAAGTGATAAAATGAAAATGACAAGAATTATTTTTAAATGACCTCAAATATATCTTAGGCAATTCTCAACTGCGTTTTGTTCCCCAACATAAGCACATATATATCTGGCATGAGCTAATCACGGCCAGTGTAGCTCTATTACAGAGTATTCAGCTAATTACTGTAGGTGTAATACAATGATAATGAAGATTAGAATGTATTCAGGTGAGATATCTGTCTGTGCAGGAGGCCACAACTCCAGCAGTGAGCCGAGTCATGTGAGTGAATGTGGGTCAAAGGTTAATGATTCTCGGAGCTCTGCGCAGCAACATTAACGTCTATATGAGTGTGTGACATCCACACCGCTGTTTGTCTCTGGTCACTGGCTCTAATGTCTGCAGTGTCACCGGATGCACTCTCGTGTTTGTTTCGTCCTGTAGTGTGTATGCTGTAAGTGAGACACACAGTACAAGAATCACCTTAATGGTGTCGAGTGGATGTCCGACGAAGACGAGGCAAATGCCTCCAAACCCTCCTGCGAAGAAGTTCTTCATCGGACTGATCGGCTGCGGCTGTTTGGACATTTTTTCTAAAAAAAAAAACAACACAACAGAGTGAATGAAACCGACGCCGAAAATAAACTCCGACACACAGAGAAATTAAAAGAAGACAAGAAACAGCAGATTACCTGGTCGACGGTGTCTCTGTGAGGTGTGTTTGTGTGCTGCTGTCACTGCTGACTGTAGGACCTTTCACCCACTTATTTCCCCCGGACCGGTACGACTGCAACACAGCTGCACTCTGGTGCGTTCCTGTTTGACTTCCGGGTGGAAACTGTCAACTTTTGCTCAATGGAAAAAATAAAAATCTATCAATATATAATGAAGCATATACAAAACGTTTTTTTTGGTTATTATTGGATCTACCCAAGCATATGCTAATATAAAATTCTAATTAAACTTTATTCAAGCTTGTTCAAAAAACTGGTAAATTCTCTGTTTATGTAAAAAATAAATTTCATATATAAAGTAGTACTATATTGTTGTTTTTTATTTCATTATGCATCCATTGGTGAATATTTAAATGAAGAACAAAAGAATAAGAGGAAAAGGAGGATGTAATATTATTATGTAATGTAAAATTACAATTGTAACCCAGTTTAACTTTAACTTAATGGGTTAATTTAGACACTACAGTTGTGGTAACTTAGTCAAATCTTTTTTTTTCATCCATCCCTGGCGTATTAGTTAAGTTTTGCAGTGCTGTGTGCCTTCAGGAGGGGAAGTCCGAGATGTCGTAAGTTGGAAGAGAGTCCCTCCGAGACGCCATGTTGAGCGAGAAGTAACATTAGTTGCGTTGAACGGTGAGCCTGTTGTTGAGAAACAGTAGGAAGTCAAATAGTTATTCTCAGTAAACATTGTGAACATGAGTTTATGGTCTCAATCGCTAGTTTCAATACAGCATGATGTGAATTTAGTAAATGATGGCCCCATATGATAAAGCAGGGTATACTTTAGGGTGTGACAACGTTGTGATTGAAGGGCCACTACCACGGCCTTGTTTCGTCTTACAATTTAAACTCTTTCATTGTGTGTTTTCAGTCCATGAAAGTTGATTGTAACCGTTTTGGTTCCATAAAAATGTCTTATTCAGTGTTCGGTTGTTCTCGTGCGCCACCTTCTCATTTCACTTCTGGTTGCAAAAAGCCAAGATGGCGACGGCCAAAATTTTTCATATGCATTTAAATGTTAGTGATCATAGTCATGATTGTAACAATGTGATCAACAACATGTTCACAAACCTCTGAATTTATGTTTTATGTAATAAACAAAGTGTACTGTCACAAAATCAACAAACAACAACCCAACCACTTCCACTGTTAAAATATAGCTTTATTAGTTTTATTATAACACTGTCGTAGCACTTTTGCAGACGATGTTAATCATGGAAAGAAGGGACCCTCACCTCTCTCACACGCACTGTAAACAGACACACAAATAATCAATGAACGAACACTCGGACATTAACTAAAAACTGATATCACTTCTGGATTGCATTTACCATCTCCAGACGGGATAGCCATGCTCGGGACAGAAACAGATATATTAAAGTGTAGGATGGGAGAACATCAATCACTACATCATCGGGAAGAAACAAGGAAAGTTACATGTTGCTTAAAGTATTGAAACTACGAGGAGATAAAATAAATGCCCTGTATTTTAACAACATTGTCTTGATTTTCAGTCGGGGCATCGGATAATAACTGGAAAGCAACAACACTGACTAATGTATCATCTTGGATTATAATAGCTTCAGTTAGTATTACCTCCAGAAAGCCACAGCTCACATCAGCCAAGACTATTGGTATATTTTAGCTATATTGCAAGTTGCTATATAAATCCTTATTGCAGCACAATTAGTTTGAATGCGAATGCAACATACATACATTAATCTGTAACGGTCAATAACTTTGTATGTTAGAGGAGCTTTGCATATGTAAGGACAGAGCGATCATCAAAAGTGTTTGATAAGCAGTAAAGAGACAAAAGTACCAGACGGAGCCACAGGAAAGACTCAATCTGTAGCAGCAAGTTACTCGGCTAAAAGCTTCGTATTGATAACACGTGAGTCAGTGTGCTTTTCTCTCACTAGAATAGTAAACTTGTTCAACTGGTTCTATTTGACATTAATTCAAATTCTAATGAATAAAGAGGTGAATGAAAGAGGAAGTCAGTTTTAAGAGTATTATACTCTATTAAGAAAATAATGCTTGCAGTAACACACAGTAGTTTGGTCCCACTACAAGGGAAGCACATCACGTATTCTCACAACAGTTCAAATAATGGCACTTTTATCTGGAACATGACTTCAAATCTGTGTTTTTTTATTCAAAATGTTTGATTTGATTCTAAAATCAATTTGGTTAAAGATATTTTGGTTAGAATAAGATTTCGTTGTGGTTGTTGTTATTATTTCTAATACTGTATGATAATACGGTTAGTTATTGTATGATTTTAAGATAATTATTTCTAGGAATTCACTGTGAAACAGCTCCAGTGTTTGGCAGATATTTTGGCTATTTTTAATCTCCAAGTGTGACTGAACCTCACGGGTTTTTTGTGCATTCGTCATATTTTCCCCGTCTCGAAGAACACCAGAGAAACAAAAAATCCTACTTCTTTTTCAAATAAAATTCATTTGAGATGGGAGAAGCTGTGAAAATCAGGAACATCTTTCTGATATCAACATCACATGCATGCTGCAGCTCTGGACTTCAAGTCCATGAAAACATTGGCAAAACTGATTAGCTTCTCTCAGCACAGGCTGGCACAGAACACAGAGCGTCCCATTAATTGTCAGCTCTTTGTCTCTCAACATTTACCTCCCTTCAGTAGACAGGAGCAGCCTACAGTGTGTGTGTGTGTATGGTACTGATATGGTTAGTCCTGGTTCTCACTGATCTGTGGGAACTCCTTGTAGATCTGCTGTACAATTAGCTTATCCATCTGTTTCGCTGTAGCGCTCCCTTCATCCTCTCCTGCATCTTCCTCCTCCCTGAGAATCCTCTGCAGCACCCCCTGCAGGTCAGACAGGCGGTGCTGGTGCTCGAGGTAGTCCGTCGAGCGTATTATGGAGTGCATGAGGGAGAGATACTCCATCCTCAGCTTCACAGGGAGGGCAAGAGAGGAGATTATGATCAGACTTGGTAACAAGCTTTTGGTTTAGCCGGTATCATTGAACAAATAGCTTCACATTTTTAGGAAAAACGCTTCCTTGCAGAGAGTTGGATGAGAATATCTGTTTCTATCTCATATCAGTCTATTAAATGCAATAATAATACAAGAAAAGCAAAGAAAGACTGGTTCCAAAAATGTGAAACTGTTCCTTTGAAGCCTGAGAACAATCAGTAGCTGTGCGGTGTGTCCAGGTCTCACCTTGTCTCCAGGTGAAAGGTCAGATATTTGTCGAACAGCAATGTCAATCATCACCATCATGTCAGTGCGGTAGAAGATGTCCGCGGTCTCTCGGTTGGCGAAAACATCCTGCATAAACTTGAGCACTGAGTGCGGTGCAGGCGGGGTGTGTTTGAACATACACACCGGGTCGTCTGGAGAGCAGAGGGCAAACAGTGAGCGATGACGTCGGTACACAGAAGCCATGGATGCAGAAGAAAAAATATGACAAACGGTGGTATTTTACCGCCTCTGTTGAGAAGCAGCACCACTTTCTCTGACAGGATCTTGACATTTTTCTTCTTCAGCTCCTGCATGATCACATTGCTGCTGGGTGCTGGGTGACACAGACGAGACGCATAAAAGTAAATAGTAAGACAGTGAAAACAGTGTAGAACTCTGTGGTGCAGGACTTCTTCTACAGACCTTTTTTTGGCAGACATTTTGACATATCGTTGCAAAAAAAGCACAAGTGACACAAAAAACTCCTGCAGTTTAGGACAGAGTCATAAAACTCACGGTTTAGATCGTATCATGTTTTTGATTCGAGGATCGGATCAGCACAAAAGAAAAAAGGGAGCAAATATAACGATGATCCATATTGGCCGATGCAGATCGTTGTTGTTGTTGTTGTTGTTGTTGTTGTTGTTAAAGCCACAGGTCTACAAGGCTCCAGACTATTCTTTTTCACCACCATCCCAAAAATCAATTCAACCGCTCTGAAGTCAGTGTAAACAATCAACATTTTTAATAATTAGGAAATAAAAGATTGTAATTTTATAAATGAAAAAAACTATCTTGGAATTAGCTATTTTAATCATTATTATAAGTTGCTTCAAGTAAGTGTTAGGAAGTTAAACAGGTCATAATTATAATTCCCTCTCTAATATCTATTTTATATTGCTGTGAAAACATCTTCAAACAACTGGATTTATTCAAGTGTCTCGCCAAAAACTACATCTTACAAGATTTGAACATGATAACGTTATAAAGTACCCTCGCCCAGCCATCCTTAATGTCATTATTTATACTCTTGCTGTGTGTTTCCTGCTATGACAAGTCAAAATGTCTGATGTGAAAAGGGTCCATGGCGGCTTTTCTCACCTGTGTGGTGCAGGTTGAAGGCCAGCAGGAGGTTCAGGAAGATGTCAGGCAGCTGCTCTGTGGGATCAGAGGGAAGCCCGTCCTCCACCACACCCAGCAGGAACTGAACAAAGTCAGCATTCAAGTGTTCTGAAAGCAGGATTATGTCCCTTCAATACACCTTTTAATGCATGCATGTCAAACCTTTAGATCAGGAAAACCGTTAAGAATCTGTCCGATAAAAGCTAAACACAAAGTTGTTTTTTCATTGTTTTGGAAGAATCAACATCAGTGATGCTCTGTTTCTGTGTGCATAACCTCATATGCAGCGGTACAGTAAACATCTTATATGCCACCGAAAATACAACACAGCAGCCTTTTATTTACCATTATATACACCATTATATGTACCATACCGTAGTGATGATATGGCACCTGTTCACCCATTGAGAAGATCATAGTGAGTACCAATGCTGTGTAACACATCTTCTGGTGCTCTGAGGAAAGAAAAACAGACCAAGAAACAGTAACATTTAGCTTTGGGAGTCGTGCAGATGAGCAAGATAAGGTGAAAAGTCAATGTTTTCACCTTGTGTGTCAGTCTGTAGGTCCCTGGCCAGCTCCATTGGGAGGATGGAGTTGAGGAGGGTGGAGATGAGGGAAGCATCCATGCTGCACATCGCCCCGAACACTTTGAGCAGCAGCAGCCGCAAAGACACGCGAAGCTCCTGCACGGTCACGTGATAATAATAATAATAATAATAATAATAACAACAACAACAACAACGAGCCAACACCAACCAAATATACACTGAACATCACCAACATGCTCACTAACACTGCAATTCCACAATCCCCATTCAGCTCAACAAGAATCTAGTTCATCTAGTTCCCTCTTGGTACATTATGTAATCGACAACAAACACAAACTGGATATTATTGTTGAACAGTTACTGTTGCTAGGCTACAAGAACAAAAGGAAAAAAAAGAGTTTGCCAATTTTGGTTCAGAAGTATCGCACTAATATATTCTTAAATAAACTGGCTGTATACAGTTGTTGTTGATGATAACGAAGAATCTTTTAACCGTAAGAGGAAACTAGACAACATTATCTTTACAGACCTATTTATACTTTAAGCCTCATACATTCATGTTTTAAGTTAATAGTGTTCTAAATAAAAGACTTTGTTATTATCACGTCTTACCATCTGATAATATGAAACCAGAGACAGCACATTCTCGTAGTGGTTGGCCTTACACATCTTCCTACACACCTCAGGATCTGCATCAGTCTGAAAAATGAAACCACTTTTAGTTGTAAACGCGGCGACATAATAACATCATAACTATGTAACTTCCTAATCTATGGCACAGTCGTGGTCCCTGCACACAGCAGAGGAGGATTAGGAAGCCCATTGACAACGCATCTGGACATCTCATCCCTGAGGTTCGGGACAAACTGCCAACAAAGAATATTTGGCAGCCTGAAGCGTTTACAGACTCAGTCTTTAAACACACTGTTGGATTTGTAAAGTCGTCTGAGCCGGTCTGATCCCATCAAACATGTCTGGTATTTACAGCACGACAGCTGGACGGGTCCTGTGGTCAACGTTTTATATCAATATGAGGATAAACCACTGACTCTTATCTGATAACGTGTGTTGAATTAGTGACTTAATGTGTTTTCAGCTTTCATTGAAAACTGACCCACCTGCATTCAAACATGTTATATTACTGTGCATATTAATACAAAATGACTGTGTTTATAAGCTGGTTTATGGACATTATGGGCGCAGGGGTTATGTTTTCGGGTTGTCCGTCCGTCCGGTCAATTCTCGTGAACGCAATATCTCGTGAACAGTTGACAGACATGGATGTAAACATCCATGTGGTGGTAGTTTTAGTCTGTTGATGTTATTCCTGTTTTGAGTTCTTGTGTTACTATCCTGCTTGTTTGATATTCAAGGTGTGTAATGTGTATTACAGATTTTACTGTGTATCATTTTGCAACCTTTACTTTGAAAGGTGCCATATAAATAAATCCTGACCTACTTATGACTGACAGACATACATATCTGTGAAATCCATCTTTTCATCTGTGACACAGTCAGTCAGGACTTCAGTTACATCTTCTTACACTTTAGAAAACAGACACCTCGCAGACTTATACAACTAGTTATAGACTTGAATTGTTTCAAGAGTTCACTCAGGGTTCCTATGCGTCCTGGAAAATAGTTGACCCATTTTCCAGTCATTGAAAACGCCTAGAAAATGACAGAAAGTAAAATGTCCTGGAAAAACTTGTGTTGTCGTGGAAAATATTTCAACATTCTCATATTTTCCGTTAGCTGAGAATGAACTATATTGCCATCTGAAAGGGCTTAGTTATGCTCAGGATCATATTAACGTCCAAATGGTAGTTGACGTGGTTTTAAATGTGTGTTGGGCAATGTTGAGAGAGTTGGATAATAATGAATGGGGCGTCCTGTTCAAAACAATAAATGAGACTTCCACAGAGAGGAACATATAAGTGTGTGATGTGATCCATATGTCTGTCATACCAACTAGATCATCACCGAAATAGTCCTGGAAAATGATCTCTAGAAATAAGCAGGAGCGCGGTCACTGCATCGTACCAGTATCTTCAGCAGCTCCTCCAGGTAGCAGGCGATGAGAGCGAGGTCTTCATGAAGCGCCCAGCTACGCTGCTGAGAATCGTCCCGGTGTCGGGCGAGGTCGCTGAAGATCACCTCCAGCCTCTGTTCATCGTGACACACCTGTCCCTGCGGCAGCGCTGCACTCACATCCTACAGAGACAGAAAACATCATGACACACCTATTTCTGCTACAACTGGAAATATCAGTGAGAGAGGAATATTTAGTACTCTGTCATAAAGAGCAGCTGCTTCACTTAAGTCTGGTGATCATTTCCTGTGGGTTTGTCACTTTGATCGACCCCTTTCACATTTAATGATAAAATCAAAAGATTGATTACAGCAGCTTTAAAGGACAATACCGGTGTTTTAAAAAGTTTGTGTCAATCATATTGGATGCTTCTCTGCTCTACATCTGTGTCTGGATGCAGCAGCGTAGTTTGAGAAGAGGCTATTCTCTGTAATTCATTTCTTAAAGGATTAAAAGACAACATATACAGGCTACAACCTTCAATTTGGTTTTGTCTAAAACTCCTTGTGTCAAACTGAGTGAGCACACTGAGGAGACCTCTAGCAGACCACAGAGCATTCAGGCTTTATAATCGGATGAGCGGTGAGGAAGTGTGCACATGTGTCACCATGTAAATACAGCATGCAGCCAACAGAGCTTTCAGCATCTGCTGTTTGAGGTTACATGTCACACTGCCCACTATAGACTACCTTACACCAACAGTAAGAAACACAAATGTCTGCCAGGAAAGAATCAGCAGTTCCTTTTAAGCTTAGTCAAGCATGAAAACAGGAAATGAGCGAGTGATACTTTGAGACCTGTCACCCCGGAGTCTCAAAACGACTCTGAGAAATGTCAGCTAAATGAAGACTGAGCTGTAACTCTAAACCACACCGGTGTTCTCCTTTAAGCTGGTGGGGCTGCAGGTTTCTGAATCCACATGATGTAGTGAAAACAAATCTGACCTTGCTCTTCACCAGCGAGAGGAGAACTTGCTCCAAATCAGAGGAGGCTTGAGGCAAGGCCGTCTGCAGATGGCCGACCACCACGCCTACAGCGACCCGCGACAGCTCGTAACTCAAGCCCGTGTTCTTCCGTACCAGCTCGATCAGCTCAGCCCCGATAGTCATGGGAACCGGCTCAGGAGTTGTGGGGCTGCCAGGAGGGCTTTCAGCTATGGAAGGGGGGGCAACAGGCCATTCAGTTTCCGGCTGCTCCTCCCTAGCGGGCTGGGAAGGAGGTGGGGTGACATGGGGAGGCTGTGGAGCCGGGCTCTTCTTTGCAGGAGCTGGCTGAGGAGGAGAGTCGGAGGGAAGCACGTCTGGAGGCGGCGCAGTGGGCTTCACACGGGATGGCACAGGAGGAGGGGGGGTGCTGGAAACGCTTGGCAAGCTGACATCGGAGGAGACCAGTGAGTGGGAGGAGCCAGACTCTAGAGAGGTGGTGCTGATTGTGAGGGAGGGAGAAGGGGACGGAGGAAGAGAGGACAATCTGGAGGGGACTTCTGGCTCCGCTGAGGGGGAGGGAGAGAGAGAGAGAGAGAGAGAGAGAGCTCCAGTTACAGAGAGGAGAGTGAACAGGAATGACCTGACTAAGAATAGAGTGTGTTTGTGAAATATAGAGAGCTGCAAAAACACTGTGCTGTAATCTATGGGTCTAACAAACTTGTGAATACTGTTTGGAAAAATGCGTCCACAGCGCTGCTCTCCGAGTTCTCACCTGGACGTCGGCCGTTGCGCTGTTTCTCAGGGGGAGGTGGGGTGATCGGAGCCGCACGTCGAGGTTGAGGAGGCACCTACAGGAGGTGAAATTGATTATATACAGGCTGATTTGAGGGCATATTGTGTGTGTGCATTGTTCTCTATATGCACAACTTGAGCATGTTTAATTGTCTCTGCTGTCAGAGAAACGTTCCTGGGAGATGTAAGGGTGGTCTCTCTCAAGATCTATTCTGTAACACATCGAACACTCCTGATATTGTTTTTTTGAATCAGTAAAGGCTGAAGTGATATTTTAATCCTACTGGGTCGTGTTTTTGACCTGTACGTACAGGATGAAACCTTTTCTGATGAACTGATGAAGTACTAGTCCCTGGCTGCAAAGATTTGTGAGCAAGGATATTAATGTAGATTACTGGGGTTCAACAGGCAGCCTTAAGCATGTCCACATGCTGAGCATTAATGAGTTACAATTTCAAACAAACTTTATTTATTCAGCATGTTTCGAGACAGACGTTTGAAGTGCTTTACAGGAACAGACAGATGACAATATGTAGGCTTTGAACTTTTTTCTGCTCATAAGTATGAAAAATGTATATAAGCTCGCTGAATATTTGAAGCCTGCATATTTGAACCTAATTGGTGGCTTCAAATAAAATATTTAAATGCGTACTGTGTGGGTGCGTTACCTGATAAAAGCCCTGCTCTGCCTGTATGTTGTCCACGCTTCCGGACAACGGCACGCTCCCCTGTCGTCCGTAGTCCCGGTTGAGGCCGTTGGGCGGAGGAGGAGTCTGACTGAGAGATATTTCGCTGCTGGAGGATGGGAGGCCTTGTTTGAGACCGGAGGACGAGGAACTTCGTCGTGTGAGCGTCTCTTTTCTGTGATGGATCAACTTTCTGCAACAGAAGAGAATAATGACTTATACAACATGCCAGAATCAATATATTATCTTGTGACGTGCATTTCGACTCACTGAAGAACATCTCTCTGTTCCAGATTGTATTTGCCTCCGTTTTTTAGGGCCACGTTGTGGATCCCTTCGATTGCTCTGTCGATCGACTGCAACACCTCATCCTGCTCTGGCGCCTACAAGAGAAAGAAAGAGAAAGTAGGGGGGCAAATTAAATATGAATTGACATAATCATAAAACTTTTAAGCAGAATCGAACAGACTTGTGGCTCGGGGGCATGTGTGACTCCGGGCAGAAACAAACTAGGCCGGTTATCTAACAGAAACAGCCTTTTGAACAGTGACACACGTGAGGCCTCACATTGAGGCTCATTAAACCTGCACAGCCAATGTCATTACCAACAGGAGGGAGCATTCCTATCCTGCCAGCGTGTGGTTTCACAAAATACATGCTCTGACTAGTTCCCCCTCTGGATCCTTAGAATAAGGAGTCTCCTGACTGCAGACCACACGTGGGTGTGTCTGAGAGAAAAGCTATGTGGAAGCTACTTGTTCAACAATAACAAGGATAGTTGAGAATGATTCTTATAATAATAATAATATTAATAATAATAATAAAATAGAGATATAGTCCCAGGAGCAGAAGAGTTTGATTTGAGCAGAAACAATGTCTCCCTGTCTTGCTGGTCTTTGGTCCTGGGGTCTGTCCGGTCTGATTTCCTACTCTACATCATCCTATCCTGTCATATCTCACGTCCTTCCCTACATCTCCTCTCTGTCGCAGTGAGCAGCTGCAGTGCAGAAGGCTGGATGTCTCCACTCAATGCAACGTTTCCAATAATTGATGGTTTCTTCTGCAAGAGTGCATTCTCTTCCTGACAATAATCAGCAGTGAGCTTCAACACTGCAGCACACACACAGTACAGTTACTACATGGGATCTGTCTCTCTCGATCCAATCAATTCAACCCTCAACGTCACTACGCATTCACCAGATTTCACTTCAGCCCAGGATGCGACATGGTCACTGCTCGTTATTCATTGAGACAAAAAGAGAAACAAGCCCAGCTCGGGGATCGGTATTTACCTGTATTTTTTCGATGTATGACGATGGGATGTAGCCTGTTTCCCCCGAGCTGCAGCGGGACCCCAGCCACCAGTGTTTGTTGCTCCTCTCCAGGATTAGGAAGCTTTCTCCGGCCGCGAAGTGCAGCGAGTTGGGCTCCACGGATCGGAAGGCGTATATAGACCGGTACATACTTTAATGAGACTTTCACGCGCCGAAATCACCCGAAACAGCTGGAGAACCGGTTATGGAGACAAGGAGTCTCGGAGGGGTGAATATGTGTGCAGTTAGAGGGGATTTAAAGAGTCTATGAAGGCATGTCCCCGGTGGATCGTCGCTGTCTATTTACAATGTAGCTCCTCGGATCATCTGACCTGTGACTGTTGCCAGTAAACACCGCAGGGGGCGCTGTTTCCCCGTGAACACGCCCACAGACATTTTAATCAAAGCCAGAGCCCGATGATCACTGTGCAGCTGCATCACCATAAGATTTCATCAAAAAAACATCTAAATCATTCATGTATTTTCATACAGAGATTATACATTATGTTCCTGTGCTAAATGACTCCACATGTACAGTCTTACATTTCACTTTCTTTATTTGGATGAGGTGGACCTTTGAGAGACAAACATAAGTCTTTCCAAAATGTGCAAATACGCTTCAAAATATAACTGTTCAACAGATTCAGCATATATACATCATTGTGAAGTCCAAATCGAAACGTTAAATGCGAAGCATCCCGAGTCTTCAGATGCACTTCTATAGGTTTGATGAAATAAATACAAGAGAACCATTGGTCCTGAAATCTGTGCATTTTAGCCTTTAGTTATAATTTTATAAATTTATAATTGTAAGTAATATGTGGAAGGTCATCGTTTTCCTGTAAATTTAGGGAAGATAATGACACATTTTAATGTGCAACATATGACATCAGTTGCTTTAGTAGCTGAGTATTTAGATGGTGAAATCAGATAACTTAATCTAAAAATAGAGTCTAGAGTTGCACACATCCATGGTGAAGACAAGTCATTCAACAGTAAATGACCAGTACGTAAAGCGTGTTGAACCTGAAATAAAACATGTTCGATTTAGCGTTACACGACACCGGAAGCCAGCGGCTGGTGTTACACAGAACTTTGTCCCCCGCCAGTGTCTCCGCTGCCGGTTGGTGAACTCTGTCAACATGGCCAGTGCGGTGTGTACCAGATTCCTCCTGCAGAGATCAACACAGAGGTTTCTCTTCTCGTGCAGAGCAGGACCCGCTTTCTCAAGGTGTGGTAGTTTATCAATTCAAGTCTTGTGATTCATTTAAACTGAAGATTTCAACCATGTGGGGTCGCTTAAGCAACTGTCTCCCTTTTGTCTTTCCTCACCTCTGTGTGGAGACGAGGACATTAAGAAGTTATGGTCATGAAATAATTCCACTATCACAGGAGTCTCACATGCTCGAATATAATTTGTATTCAAAGGAGGCAATGCTGCTCTAGAGACATATCTTGTGTTGCATTATTCCCACAATTAGAAATATATCATTAATACAATCAGTATCGCATGTTCTTTTACAATGTAGATCATATTATGTCATGGGAGCATTCTTCTCTTGACTTCCTGTGTGTTCACCAATACAGTTGGAACCTTAGACTGCATCCACAGAAGGAACCAGTGTGGTTCCTTCTGTGACATGAGAATTCACCCCCGGGTTGAGATAAAGTAGTCCATCCATCTATCTAAGCATCATTTTAACTATAGATTTATCATTTATCATTATCATCATATCTTTTTCATTAATTGATTCATCATTTAGTCAAAACATGACAGACATTTGTGAGTAGGCATACAGTGTGTGTGTGTTCATTGGTCACAGCTGTCAACATTTAAGGTGCAAAACAATGATGATAAACAGTCAGAGAGAGCACCTGAAAGAGAGAGAGAGAGAGAGAGAGAGAGAGAGAGAGAGAGAGAGAGAGAAAATAACAGAAACATACAATCTGCTATATTTTTATTATTTTGTTAGCATTTAGTTTTGCATTCCAGTTGTTGCTTCCTGTTATTGATTGCTGCATTGTTTTGATAAGATGCATATCTGATTCAGAATCAGAACTGTTTATTGCCAAGTACTTTACACATGCAAGGAATTTAACTAGGTGAATGGGGCATTACAATAACCACAGTGCAATAACCGAGACATCATTTAAAATCAGGTTGGTCGTCTGTTGCAGATTACATACGTATCATTTTGAGATAAGACGTGTTGAGGGAGCAGTGTGCTGATTCTGACATCTCCGATGTGGAGGTTTTTTTTTTTTTTTTTACGTTTGTGCTTTTTTCCCCTTTCATTACAACTCCACGATTCCCTTCAAGCATCAAGCTCATTTGCACACCAGACAGTATCTCATTAGTTACATTCAGTTTCCAGGAGTCCTCTGCTTAGCTGCTTTACAAACCAGCTGGCGAGGCAGCAGTTCACAAGAAAGTGCAGCGCATCACATCTCAGAAACAAAAAGTTGTTGAGCCCAGATTTCTGTAACAGTCAGCAAGCAAAAGTGTAAGAATAGGCCAAAATTAGCTGCAGCTCTTTAGACGAGCAGCATTGTTTGTTTCTTGGCTGCCTCTTTTCTGCAGGAACAGGCCTAAAGCGTTTGGCCGCCATCTCTGTCAGTAGGTTGGCATTGGATTCTTTGGCTTTGAAACTGGGCCACATGGCAAAAGTTCTGGAGTGCAGCCTCTTTTTTTGTGGAATGTTAAGTGATGGAGAATGTATAGAGATAAGACCAGTGCAATAAATACATAACTACAGAGACTGTTTCATGCCACAAGCACTCTTTGCACTATTAATACTCACAATAAATAATAGAAATGACCAGTTTTTTGTACTTAATATGGCATTGGTTGTAATTAGTTTACCTGTCTTTTGTTGCAGCCCATTTCTGTGCCGTGGACATAGATTGGGACCCAGCGATGATGAAATGTACCAACGGACCTCGGTGTCCGTCATGCAGAAGGAGCCGGGCAGCGGGGTGATGATCCACAGCTACAGTTCCAGAGGATTCAACATCGACGGCAACAAAGTGTTTGGGCCCTGTGCCGTACTGCCTCCTGCTATCCTCCAGTGGAATGTGAGATCAATATCCAAAGTAGCTTCACAGTTCATAGTTTGTTGTGTTGTGTATTGCTTTGTATCATACTTAATCTACTACACTAAATCTAAACACTATCTGTGTTTATTGTTTTAAATCTCTCTCTCTCTCTCTCTCTGCAGGTTGGCAGTTTTGAAGACATCACAGAAGAAAGTGTCTCACTTTTCCACATGCTTGAACCAAGAATAGGTAAAAAAAAATAAAAGCACACCGATGTACAGATACCAAAGTGTGATGAACAGCATTCTTCCAAAAGATTTTCACTCAGTTGGTGTTTTGATGATGGTGGTGAAAAGTGCTGGTTAACATGTTGGTCCAATGCCCCCATTTAAGTTAATTTTCATGCAGTTATTCATATTTTGAATTTAACCAAAAAAAAGTCCGGCTGTAATTTGACTTATTTTCTTGCTGTTCTACAGAGATTCTCGTGCTGGGCACAGGTGCACGTGTTCAAAGAATTAAGCCCTCAGTTCTGGCTCTGCTCAAACGTAAAGGCATCGCTGTGGAGGTGCAGGACACGGTAACGTTTGCTCAGTGTCTCATTAAAGTGCTTATATTCTTCCTGACAGCATGAAAGTCTTCCAACAACAAAAACTAATCGAGCTGCCCTAATCTACCGTTCTGTCTTCCCTTTTCATCGCTGCTGTTTTGCAGCCAAATGCATGTGCAACCTTCAACTTCCTGGCCAGTGAGCGAAGGGTGGTGGCTGCTGGTCTGATCCCTCCGCCCGTCAGCACGGCGCTGGAGGTGAGCCAGGAATAAGTGTTGCCATGTCAACAGAAACTACACCAGGACTGATTTCTGCAGATGGAGGTGATCCCAGGCCTGTGAGATGGTTATTCTCCTTCTTCACGAAGCTTCCAAAGGAACAAACTCCGTGACATACGGCTCTGAAGAATCACTATATTTTGGTCACAACTGTTATTTTTTGTAGACGAAGATGTTAAATGCAGCTGCCGCCACTCAGGGATCTGAGCAGTGAGCTGGCTTAGATCACTGTAAATACGGTTCCTATATAAAAATACTGTGTTATGTGTATTAAATATATATTTAAAGGCTTTACATGCAACAAACTGTGCTCAAGTGTCATGAATACGGAATATTTATTATTTTAAAAGACACAAGAAAGAGTCGCTGTTGTCTGTGCAGTAGATACAAGTGATTATATGTTAAAAACATAAAAGAAGTAAAAATTCTTTGTGTATATGTTCCAGCCCTCTGCCCGAGGTGTTGGTGGTGACTGTCGTTCGTTTGGATAAGCCTCTTTTCTCTGTGCGTCTGTCCACCCTCCAGCATTGCTGCCACTTACAAGCTGCCTGTGGGCAGCACACGACAACATTCAGTGGCTTTGTCCTTCTCACACATAAGCTCCCATAGATAAGAGAATCCACAAATCCCCTCCACATCACTGGGATTCATCTCTTAATCATCTGTCTCTGTGCCACATGCCCAGCGCCAGTCTGAAATATTTAAATCCCCGTCGTTCATTACTTTCACCTGCTACTGCTGAGAAATTGTGGCGCTGATTAAAGGAATACAATAATTCCAGTCAAACTGGCTCCAGTTAGATACATGCTGTTTCTTAATAGGTAAATACATTGACAAGTTAATAATTGAGTATTGAAAATGAAGCTGTCTTTACAAGATAAAGTAATAATCATAGTCAGTTTCAGCTGATGTGTCTATCAAAAATGGACTTATGGACGAATATAAGAGGAATTATCATTATTCTGATTCAGGATTTTACTTAGTAGCAAAAAAAGTTGTATTGGTTGGAAGAGAGCATCCCTGTCTCATACCAAACCACTGCAAATGCAGATGATTGAAACTTAAAAGGACAAAAGAAAAATACGTTTTTCCAAATTGACACCAAACATTTACACAGTATACTCACAATTCACGCTACATGCTACATAACACACCCAATGCATTACAGCTGGGATAACCATCCATACTGTGATTATAGCCTCCCAGCTGTTGCATTATTTGGTCCTGATGTTGAAAGTCTCTCTCAGTCATCATCAGAGTTGTGAGACTGGTGTCTCTGTGATCCTCCGAAGCTGAGCTCTGCTCCTGTAATCCGGCGGTACATGTCTTTGATGTCCTCACAATCAGCCTCAAAGTGGTTTATTGCATCATATGAGCGGGACACAAATATCTAATGAAGACAGAGGAGTGAGGAGACGTCATTGAACCAGTACTGGACACACTTCACACCATTTCATTTTGTATTTCTTTTGCAAAGAAATCTCCTTCTTACCTGACTCTTTTTTCCATCTTCATTGGGAACTGCCATGTTGCTGACTGAAACAAATCTAGATTCAGGGTGGTGACAGGAAATAACATCAATTAAATGTTGTTTAAAATGTAAATGAAATAAACAGTGACATTAAAGATTGAAATGTGTCACTAACTTTTGCATGACGGGCTCGAGAAGCTCTAGCCCTGGCTGAACTTCCTTCTCTGGGTTGCTGGTTTCTGCAGTCGTGCTCACTGTGGCGATGTACATCCCGTCTGAGGCCACATTGTGGACATAGGACACTACAGATATGTAAATGTCTGCATGGACAAAGTTGAACATAAATCATTCATTTACAAAAATATGTGGACTGCAACACACATGTACGTGAAGACATGATTTATTTCTCATGCTTTAGCAGAGAGAAAAATAGACAAAATACCAGATTTCCTGTTGAGTTGAGTTTGAGGGATGATGATCTGACAGGAGTGAGCGTCGTGGGTGTTTTTAACTGGATGATTTAATAAACAGATGACTCTTATCACACGCCCCACTTTCCTCACTCGATTAGGAACGTAGCTGGGGTCACAGATGAGCTGTTTACAGTGGAACAGCTGTTAAAAAGACCAAAAGACAAAACCACTCAGTGCACAATTGGGCTACAGGACATTTTCTCCAAACATCCCAACTTCTCTATCCTCCACAGGAACACACACTTGCCTTCCCCTCAGACTTCACAGCTTTCACTTTGCCACTGTCCATCACAAGCTCATCCACTGTTCTGTTCAAGAGGAAAGTTCCTCCGTACTCTGCACTCAGTCTGAAACGCACAGATTCAGGTTGGTTAATATGAACCGGACATGATCCATAGTGACTACATTCTCTGTTGCAACTATGCAGAATCCCACACCATGTTTCCTACTTGATGTTGATCGCACTGCACTGAATGTAATGAGAAGACAAACTGGAACTTGTTTCTGTAAGTATTCAGGGAGAAATCTGATTGATTATTTTGTAACCTGGCAAATCCCTGTGGTAGTTCGCCCAGCCCGTACACAGGGTAGAGGTATGGACTGGTGTTGTGGCGGGACAGAGACTCACAGTACAGCCTGATCCGTCTGATGGTTTCTCCACACGGCTGGTCCAGGTAACTGCAGGGTCACCAGGAGACAGTAAACCAAACCAGAAAGGATTTAACATTGTTTTTTTTTGTTCTGGTTTATGCTTGTGACTGACCTCTCACTGCTGTGTAATGCAATGGCATGACCTATGAACTCCACAACATCTAGTCCCAGGTCAAAGCGGCAGAAAAGGTCCCGTGTGGTCATTTTGTTAGGATCCACGTCCTGGCAGGTCCGAGGGTTTCTCACGTCAAAGTTCAGGGCAAAGAGCAGCAGCTTCCTGAACCGTCTCTTGTCAAACATACCCATCAGATCTAAAACAGAAATATTTTATTGAACGCCATCAAAGTTAGTTATATTTAATTATTGTGCATTAATCATTCTTCAGGTTTATCACCTGAAGCATGCATGGCATCTTCCTCTGTGCCGGGGACTTTGTGCACTTTGCCTGCTTTGTATACATAACTGCCTTCAACAACTTTGAAGTCCAGATATCGAGTAACCTCAGTGTGCACCAAGATTTTCACCAGCTCACCTGATGCAAAGACACAGCAGAGGATACAGAAAACGACAGTGCACACATTTGTACTACAAAAATCACAAGTTCACATGCACTTTGCTCTCACCATTGGCAAGAAAAAATTTGGGGATAAGGTCGATGTTCCACTCTTTTCCACGGTCCATAGACTTAGCAGGTCCTGGAACCTTAAACTTCTTGAACAGCTGTAAATGCAGGAGAATATTAAACACGACAAACGAGCGACGTAGCAGCAGCTTTGTCAAGTGGAGGATGTTGGCTGATGTTTGTGAACACACCTCCTCAAGGTGAGAAATGGATGCACTCTCTCCTCCATAGTAAGGATTCTTGTCAATGTGAAGAACCTTTTTCCCACTTTGAGACATTAAACCAGACAGGATACATTCCTGAGAGAGACAGTGAAGCAGTTTGTGACACACTGTGCATCTGTAGATCTAGACTAGCATAATGACATCATATAATTGGTGTAAATCCATTTAGTCCAAGTACAAGTGTGACCATTTTACTCATGAGCAAACTTAACCACCACTCATCCTATGAAGTATTTAAGATTCAAATTAGTTCAGGAAACACGGGAAAGAAAAGGTCATTCTTTAGATTCTTAGTACAAAATGTTAATAGTAATGTAGGTAATGACGCGTGTAATTTTCCTTATACATTAGACTACTTATTTTACAATGAATACAAGTTTTCTTACCTTAAGTCCAGTTCCAAGCACAATAATATCATATTCCTCCATCCCAACAGTCTCTCCACCTGTTTCTCTCTGCCTCACTGAGTCCCAGGTGTAGCCAGAGTGTAGCCTGTTGCAGTATTATGAATGTGTCTGTGTGCATTTCTGTATTCAGATGCGATGATTAAAAGTGACACAAATTTCTTTGTGTTCCCCTTTGCAATAATCCTCTTAAGACTGCCACGTCTGTGCTATATGTGTGTGTGTGTGTGTGTGTGTGTGTGTGTGTGTGTGTGTGTGTGTGTGTGTGTGTGTGTATATGTGTCTGATTGTCTGTAAGAGGTGGGGTTTTCCAGTCATTGCAGATTGAGGTATTAAATGAAGATGGTGTCATCAGTGGTGGACAAATTATTCAGATTTGTCATAAAAAAATCTACTTAAGTAAAGGTACAGAACTATTATCAGCAACATATACTTTAAGTATCAAAGTAAATATATTTGTTCTGCAGTAAATGTTCCCTGTGACTGATATATACAGTATATATATATATATATATGTATGATATTAGCAGATTGTTGATGCTGATGCAACAATGTGTAATTTGACTGCTAATTTTAACTACTTTATAAAGTTAGGTAGTTATGTCCAGATAAATCAGAGTGGTCGTGAGATGATTAATGAGAGATGAAATAATAAAAAATAAAGTATGTGTTCATTTGTTTCTCTGATATTAACTTTTTTTGTGAAATATCAGGTATTTTTACCTAATACTATTGAAATGAAACCATGTGAGAGGTTAAGAGGGGAAAGGTTTCTTTGGTAGAACTTATAGACATCAGAAATGCTAAAAGAAGCCCCCGCTGTTTTAATTTTTAACAATGTATTGTATTTTATAAGCATATTGCATGTATTTCTATATCAAATCTTAACCTGTAAAGTATCTATAGCTGTCATATGAGTAAAGTAAAAAGTACAATATTGCTCTCGTGAGTGGAGTATTAAAACTACCATAATGTGGAAAAACTCAAGTAAAATACAAGTAGGCCTACCTCAAAATTGTACCTGAATACTATACTACGGTAATTATCACTGGGTACCATAGTATAAAACTTACATCAAATTTGTACTGTATGTAAGTAATACTAAGTCCAACACTACTGAGACCAACACACATACAGAAAATCAGATGTCGTATGATTGTTTAACGTTCCAACAAGGTTTAAATTCTGGATTTTAAAATACATTAACTCTCAACAACAACAATAACGAAAACAAAATAATTTAAATTACATAGCAAACGACATTTCTGAAGAAGTTACAGCAGTAAAAAGCTCAGGCTCAGCTACTACAAAAGACTCAGTTACCCATAATTCTTTGAGACGGAGACGTCTGGGTTGGAAAAAGACTCTTTGGGGTTGTGCTTGTAAAATACGCCGTGGCACTCGGACGGCATGGTGGGAAATACTTCTGATATATAACTCCGACTCCGCCTCCCCAGGAGGATTCCGGTGTACGCCCGGGTATAAATCAAAGTGCATTAATGTCACTCTCTCGTGTACTGTGGATGTTTCAACTTGCAATCGCTGGGCGTCTTTGTAAGCTCCAACTTTAGCTGATATTACTGTTTGACTGCGGCGGTGAAGAAGTCAGAGTAATGTCTTCGGCACAGACAGTAAGTGGGTTAGTTTTAAGTGATAAACAATAACGTTAACTGTTCCTGCAATCAGCGTCACCGCGTCCTTAGCGCATTAACTACCGCATTCTTATTAGTTAACCTTATCGTTCAAGTTCAGCGGTTAATTAATTTAACTAACTAGCTCGCGTTAGCATTAGTCGATTATTTACGTAGCATTAGCACCCCAGATTGTTTAATGTCTTGCTTTTATAGCATTTAACAACAAGTTGTGACAGTAATTCGACTCGTTTTCTAATCACTGAGTAAAATGAGCACAGCACGAAAGAGGCGTGTCCGTTAACGTCTAGCTCTGTGACGTGAGACACTCAGTAACGTTAGTGGACTACCTTCAGTCCGGTAACGTTATGGTGGACTACCTTCAGTCCGGTAACGTTATGGTGGACTACCTTCAGTCTGGTAACGTTATGGTGGACTACCTTCAGTCCGGTAACGTCATGGTGGACTACCTTTTTAGTCTGGTAACGTCATGGTGGACTACCTTTTTAGTCTAATGTTATTGTTGTGATAAATGTATTTGATAAAATGAATCTGTCACAAATGTGCAAAGAAGATGACCTCATTCATTGTAGTAATGTACAGATGAAATGTTCCAAGACGTTAAAGTAAAAGCTTTTAAACATACAATAGCAAAAGACGACCACATCTAAACAAAAAAATCTTAAAAGTTTGAATTGATGCAGCCAGTTTGGCCTCACCATACTGACTGAGTTATTAATCAGGTGAGAAAAGCAATACATGAACCCACAATTTATAATATTGAGAATTTAATGAATTATATGTTCCCCTCAAAGTCGGCATTGTCCTCCATCTTTCTTCTGGATTTTGAGCTCAACCCGAGTTGTTCTTGTTTGTCTCAGTTTCCAGACCCAAATCAACACAAGCGTGTATCTGTTAAGTCCAACCCTGGATTCCTGGAGCGATTAGGTGAAACTGCAGGAGGAACAGTTGTTGGTGTCGGACTGTTTTTCCTCTCGATCTATCTTCTTTTTACCAACGAGGTAAGAAATACGCACACAGCGGGGGGGGGGGGAGGAATCTGCATTTATGTAATCACATCAAAGCCACAATACACACTATTAAAGTCTAATGGTTGCGCTATGTTGCATAATAATGTAATAGCAGACTAACTCTCTGTTTCTGATCTCAGGGACGGGCTCTGCAAACAGCCTCTTCCCTGAATGAGGGTCTTTCTCAGGTCGTGTCGTTGAGGCCGTTCTCCAGCCTTGACCTGCAGAACAACAACCGTTTAGTTCACCTGTCCTCTCAGCTGCGCACCTCACAGGTACACTGTACTCTCTGCTTTGTCAATCTTCTCTCTCCAACCACACCGCAACAATGTATTTCATTTTTAACTATTTGTTTTTGACCATGTTTGTTTTATTCTGTTTAGCTATGTTCCTAAGTTAGAGCGATTAGTGAAATAAGTGTGACTTGAGGTGATGAATCCTCTGCACCCGTGTCTGTGTAGCCCCTCCATGACCCCAACTACAGAGTTGCGGTGCAGGCAGTGAAGCTGAAGAGGCAGGTGGAGATGTATCAGTGGGTGGAGTACCGGGAGAGCAAGTAAGTCTGTTGTGAGCCTATGTCAACTGTTAGGGTGGGGCCATGTGTAGAAATGTTGCCTGGTATACAGAGCATGATGCACCCCGAGGTGAGTTTGACTGTGTGACTCATTTCAGGGACTACCAAGAGGACGGTGAGACCAAAACTGAGACGACGTACACCTACAGTGAGTTGTTCTTCTTGGTGTCTGGGAACAACATGGTGCGCTGGACTCTGGGTGAAGCTGTTTAGATGTGCGATGTGAACTGAAGCTCTATGGTTCCTTTTCTTTAGACACGGAGTGGAAATCAGAGTTGGTCAACAGTCGTAATTTTGATAAGGAAATTGGTCACCAGAACCCAAGGTATTCAAATGTTTTTAAAGATGGGTCTATTAGTTTCTTTGGCATTCAAAATATCATTTGTTGTGTGTTTGTTTATGTCTAGTTAATCTTTAATTTAATCTTAGTGCCATGTCGGTTGAGAGTGTCACCGTCGTGGCTCCTGAAGTCGGAGTCGGACCTTTCAGTCTGTCTAAAGGTATCTTTACTGACGACGACATGCAGACTTGACACAGATACGATGTTGTGTGTCGCACCGTTTCATTTAGTCAACTGTTCCTTCTCAGGCCTCGTGGAGCAGATAAATGACTTCCAGACGCTGAGCCTCAGGGATATTTCTACCTTTAATTTGGCTCCTTTTCTCAGTGTTGATGACGACTATTTCTATCACACGCAAAACCCGCGTAGGCCGGAGGTGAGCATTATGATGGGAACTTCTCCCATATACATTAAATTCTGGGTTCTAGTTATGTATGCTAAATTAGTGCAGTGTTTATTGAATATTATTCTGTATTTGGTTGTTTTTTTTTCAGGTTGGGGATGTGCGTGTGAGATTCTCCTTTGCTGGACTGAGTGGGGAGGCGTCTCCCCTCGGCCAGGCTCAAACGGTGAGTGCTGCAAATGACCAGTTCCCATATTAGTTCACTCATGTTGCCGTATCTGTGGATCACTGACTTTAAGTATTCACTGCAGCACTCCCACTGTGTCCTGACCATGTAATGCCAACATGTTGGTGTTTATCACATGCATCAATATCTTTGATAAGTGACCTGAACATTTTAACGAAATGGACTAGTTGATCAAAAGAAAATCAAGCAACATTCATTTGGATAATAGATTAATCGTTTAAGTAATTTAGCAAACGTTCACTGGTCCTAGCTTCTGAAATTAGAGGATTTGTTGCATTATCTGTTTCATATGGTTGTAAATGCAATCACACAAATATAAGATGTCCCTTTAGGCTCCTGACAATTTAAATAATGAATCAAAGAATAATGAAGAGTTTAATCAATAAGGAAAATAATCATTTGTTGTCACCCTAATTGTAACGCAAGTACAATTTTTGGGAATATTGAAAATGTGTCTGTAACGAACACTTTTTTTTTTGGTCTATAAAATGTCATATGCCATGTCAAAGTATGTTGATTTCTTGTATCCCCCCCCCCCCCTGTAAAAACGGTATACTATAAAGAGTAGGATAAAATATACAATTAGTATTTGGTTTCCATCAGCCTGATGAGAAGCACGAAACCCAAAGATGCCCACTGTCACATATGATAACGAAAAGTGGCATTTCCTCATATTTGAGAAGCCAGGACCAGGGAATGTTTGACATTTTTGCATAAAAAATTACTGCAACGATTCACCAATAATTAAGATATTTGCATATAATTTTTTTGACTATCAAATAATCAACTGATCGTTTCAGCGGCAACTGAAACCATTAGTTTCTACGGTGCACGTGCTGTCTTCAATCGTCTCAATGTGTTTTTCAGGTCAGCGTTGTGGCCATGCAGAGAGGGGAGCAGCTGATGCCTTTTAAAACCAAGTCAGGAGACACGCTGGAGATCCTGTACCCGGAGCAGCTCTCTGCAGAGGTCACAGTGCATTTTATTTAGCTTCTTGGACAATGCGTTACTTTTTGTCCATTTGATTTCTTTAGGAGGAAAAAAAAGAAGTGTTATAACATTCACAACCATATATGTCGAGTCACATATTCTCCTCTTGCTCTTTGGCTCTGGTAGTTGATGCAGTTGTATTGTTTTCTGTAGGAGGTTTTTGAGAAGGAGCTCCAGTACAACAGTAAGAAGACGTGGGGCCTCAGGGCTGCAGGCTGGGCCCTCATGTTCCTCAGCATCCAGCTGACCATGCGCATCATCTACACACTGGGTAAGCAAACACTCACTGCTGCTGTACGTCATATACATAGATGTGTTTCCCTGCGTCTCTCGCTCTTAACACTGTGTTGTGTGCCGACAGTGGATTGGGTTCCTGTCCTCCGAGAGCTCGTGTCCGTGGGGCTGAAGATCTTCGCGCTGAGCGTCTCTTGCTCTCTGTCCCTTCTCACCATCGGAGTCGGTTGGATGTTTTACCGACCGCTAATGGCCGCGGCTCTGGGAGCACTGGCTCTGCTGCCGGTGTTTCTCGCCCGCTCACGACTTCCAGCCAAGAAGAATGAATGACGTTTAACACGATGAGTGTCACGTCTTCTGATGCCTGGATGCAGCTCTTCAGAGAAATAACAGTATTGAGCAACGTGTGTTTTTTTGTTCCAGTGGGGTTATAAACCACATAGCACTTGCTTTCTCGTTGATAAATGTGTTATGAAGTTAAAGTGTGCATCACTCTGTAGATATGTTTTTGGATAAAAAGAAATCGCACATCAACCACTGCAGATGTTGTCCCACCAGACACGAGAGGAATCTGTTGTCGCCTTCAGACCACAAATGTTCCGATGTGGCCTTTCAGTTTATTAGGTACACTTAGCTGAAACATGCAGTCCAACACCACAGCCCCACAGTAAACTCTACCTTCATGGTTATAGCGCTCAGCTTTTGTTGCAGTTGTTTTAGAGGTGTTGATTCAACTTCATTGTCATTTTGAGGTGCTGTTGAATTGTATTCTACCGAGAGGGGATTATATTTATTGATGTAAATGGGGTTTACAAAATATTTGTTTCAAACTGATGGATGTCAGCGCTTAGTTTGAAAAAAAAAAAAAAAATAAATACCAAAGAACAGAATCTGCAACTTTGTATTGTTTACATGTATGTTAAATAAACCACTGCAGACAAGTTGAGCCTCAACAGTATTCGCTGATCACAGATCGACAAGTTAGATAAGACATGTCTGGCTCAGTAAATATCTTTTTATGAACTGAAGTTTCAAAAAGGACCATCGCCCTGAAAGGTCCTGAGTTGGTCAGGCTGTATTGAAGAGATAACCAAAGATTGGTTTGTATTAATCTACAACTGTAGGCTGATCCAGGACCCTGAGCACAACTCTGAAATGCACGTGTGTACTTAAACGTTTTGTTCGTACTCTTGTTAAAGGAACCCTTTATTCCGTATCGCAGCCTAACAAACTCAGTTGTGTCATTCTGTGTTTAGCGAGTAAGTGATGCAAATGATCAAGATTCTTACAAAGTAATTTATTACACAAAACACTAAGTTTCCATTTGCGTTTTAACAAAATGAGTTTCCAGTCTCATATTGTGCAAGTGATCATAATGCACATAGGATCCGTATAGGAAGCACACAAACAAAAATTTGACTTCATGTGTGCGTCTGTCTGTTGAAATAGTTAAAGGACTATGGGTCACAGTGTACAGGTACTTCACCCTTGTTGGCTGTGGAAACATTCCTCAGATCAGCAGGCGGGGCGTTAGCACTTAACTGTAGTTGGCAGGTATGACACAGCCGGTCCCCTCGCTGACCTCTTTGATTACATAGTACATGTTGATAAAGGAGGTTTCATTATGGCAAATTTACTCATGTTAAAGTACAAAAAAAGTATTTTCCATAACCTCAAAATTGAATACTGACAGAACCTGACTACTTTTGCTTAAGACAAAAAAAAGGTAAAAGCATTACACCTTTAGTAAAAACTGGGGAGAACAGTCTTTTGTGTGGGTGTGTTTAGGGGTAGGTTTGACCTAATGCTCCTTCTTTCCCCCTGTAGGAAGCAGTCCTCGTGCCCCCGTTTACAGTAGGACACATTTATTGCTCTTCTTTCCCCGCCTGGCCTGTAGTGCAGCCCTGGTGGCCATCTCGAACACTTCCCTCACGCCATCCTTTGTTTTTGCAGAGCACTCCATGTATCCAAAGGCACTGATCCTGTTAGCCATGTCCCGTCCATCCTCTGGTTTCACGGGTTCCTTTAGGAAAAAAAGTCAGGATGAGTTTTAGGGAACAGGGATTCACCACTAGCAGACTGTCTGTGTTTTAAACTGTTTTACCTGCTTCATTTTAGCAAGCTCCCTCCGGGTGTGCTCATCGTTACGCAGGTCTTTTTTATTTCCCACTAGTATAATGGGAACATTAGGGCAGAAGTGTTTCACCTCAGGAGTCCACTTCTCAGGGATGTTCTCTAAATAAAAGACAACATCGGTCAGAACGTAGACACGGCTACATGGTGCAGGTTACTCACAGATTTCATAATGCGATAAATGTCTTAAGTGTGTTTGCAGTCGTGATGTACAGAAGGTGGCAAAAAACTCACATGTGATACCATCACATCTGAACTGTGTTTACTCCTTAAATAATCATTTTGCAAAACATTTGCTGGCATTTAGAGGAAATGCACAGGTAAAAAGGAAAATTGTACCACAATCAACACCGTCAGCTCTCTGTTTGAACTTACCAAGACTGTCGGGGCTGTCGATGGAGAAGCACATGAGGATGACATCAGTGTCTGGGTAGGAGAGAGGGCGCAGTCTGTCGTAGTCTTCTTGACCTGCTGTATCCCAGAGCGCTAACTCGACCTGCCAGAAGAGTCAGAAACGTATCGACCACATGAAGCCAAACCATGTTTACGATGCTACAGGTCTATGGGTTTGATGTAATACAGACGTAACGAGTGCATACAAACCAATATCCTGTTTTCAAAAATACTGTTTTGAACAGATTCATGGCTGAAATGTTTTAGATTTAACTAAAATCATGTTTTTAATTGATTTGAAGTGTTACTACTAACATAATCACTCCTTTGTTTTATCATACACTTTATCTGTATAGTGATTTTCTAATCACTATACAGATAATTACTGAATTATAGACATTTTGCATGTGTGCAAATGTAATATTTTCATCTATGAAATCAGATGCATTGCATTGAGTGTGTTAATAGAGAGGGAGTGGAAAGAGAATACAACCAGCACTCAGCTGGTGTTGTAAGTGACATATTGCTAATTGTAGTCATTCGTACCTGTTTGCTGTCGACTTCAATGTCAGCAACGTAGTTCTCAAAGACCGTGGGCACGTAGACCTCTGGAAACTGGTCCTTACTGAACACAATGAGCAGACAGGTCTTCCCGCAGGCTCCGTCTCCCACTATTACCAGCTTTTTCCTGATTGCTGCCATAGCTGCAGACGGGACAGAAAACAACAGAGGTTAGGAGGTGAGAACTATATCTACCAGGGTGTTTAAATCTGATTGCATTCAGGAGTTACGCAACTTCTACGCATGTGAGAGACGATGAGCAGCCACTAGCTTCAGCTGTGTTGACATAACGCCAAACCCAGTCTGAAACCAACACCCGAGGCTAACTATTTAGCTTTGTGTGGCAACAACACCACGGCTGTTCATAGTGAGTCTGCTATACATCAGGTTATATACATGGTATGGCACGTGGACAGCATGCCAAGTCGAGAGCCCATGCCCCTTATGTTGATTAACGCTTAAAACGTAAAGTCACACTAGGAACTCTCTTCCACGATCATACATTTCCGCTCCAGTGTTTCTGACCCACCCCGGGATCGAGAAATGTGTCCCACATCAACAGTAGAGCATTGACTAAACTAACCTACAAGTTTACGTTTAGCTAGCTGGTGCCAACGATTGTGAATCGTAGTGTGCGCTAGATTTCAGTTACCGAGAAGGTTCTGTTTACAATAGACTTGACGACAGCTACCGTAGCTCACCAGCTAGCGTTAGCCGGATAGTGCACTGGGTTTACTACATCTTAATGTTATTCAAAGGTAGCACGGGATACATGTGCGATATTTATGATATTATACACAAAATATCACAGCAGTGTTGGTGTTTCCGTAACACCTACTCGGCCAAACCTCGCCTTTTCCTTTAAGTCACAAACCGGCTAGCTAGCTACCCAGGCTTAGCTTAGCATAACGGAAGTCAAAGCGACGTTATTGGTCCGTTAGCTATCTGGCTAGCGTCAGCAGAATATCGGATGAAAATATAGGTTAACAGCATATATACAACGATATGATAGTCATTAAATCACACTGAGCAGGTAGTGCACATCAACGTCGCTAGTAAACATAACACGCTTACCTAGTGATTGGTTTTAAAATCTATCCAACTGATTTCCAAGTAGTGCTTTGTTGGCTTCCGTCGCTGCTCCTGACTGCGCTGCTGCTGGAGGATTAACAGGAGGGAAGTGAGGGGGTGGGGCGAGGATAACAATACACTATTGTACAAACATTAAAAAAAACATACCGTATACATGTTATACAGTATTTATTATAGTTTGTTGTTGTTCTGATTATTTTGGTTATATTTATACATTTGGTCATTATTATTTAATTTTTTAATTATTATTTTTTTTTTGTCAAAAACAATAACACAGAACAGCAGCATCATTGCCAGGCATTATTACATTTGCAATATCCAGATAACATTCATGTACCGTATAGGCCTCTGGCTCAGGCCCCTGCTTAAAAATGACATGACCAAGATAAATAGAAAATATCTACAACTACAAGGTCTATCTAAATAATCTTGGTATTATAATAAAGGCAATACTTGTGAGATTTCAGCAGAGGTGTAAGCATCAGTATGTTACTGGGTAGATGTGAATGAAGATGAAACACTGCATAAATCAAAGATTTATTTTTTACGCCCAACAAAATTGTACACTTTTAGAGGGAATGTCCTTTTGGGATGATGCAGTTGCTGCCCAAAACCTCCAGCAAACCATATCACAACATGTGAACATCACCTAAGCACAGACTGAAGCCAGCTGTTGGCTAGCTTGCTATTTCCGCCATGCTTTAATGCTACACTTGTTTCAGAAAAAGAGACAAACAAAGTTGTCACTCATCTGGTGTAGCAATGTGCTTTCCTATGGTGTGGCAAGAGTTTGTGAATGTAGCATTAAGTTGCTAAATTTTACTTATTTACTCCGTCTCTCTACGCTTCGTAACATTACCACTCCACAGCTCAATTTTAGTCGTAACTGCAAAACCTCACCTCAGTGAGTACGCGACTGGCCGTACATTGTTTCAGTTTATACAGAAGTTAGTGTGCTACAGCAGTTGCAATGGCAACTGTATACATAAAAATGGCCACTGCTCTGACCATCGTGTTGTATTGACCTATTCTATTTCCATGGTGCATATGCTCCTCCATGCCATGCAAATGAATACAGATGGCTGGAATCAACCGAAAAGTTATCTAGAGACATTACAGGAGCCATTGGCAGCGTTGATATGCACTCGAATACAACTTTTGATCTCAAAACAGCAAAGCTAAGACATGATTTATGGTTATGGCTGTATAAAGAGAGTCTCTTCTTCTTCTGCTGGTTCAGTGTGTTTTGTTCATGGAGTAATTAAGACTTATATACAGTTGGAATCTGTAAAGTTGCAGCTTAAATAATGCCATATTGTTTGTGTGGGTAGCAAAGTCACTAGCTACACCATGTGCGCATACAACATTAGAGTTTTCTGTTGTGATCTCATATAGTTGCTTGGTGTTGTAACTGTATTTTGTTTTGTGTGATGTATGATGATGTGGGTGTGCAGGAATACATTTTTAACATGTCCTGATCTGGTGTTTGTTGATGTGCACAACTTTCCCCAGTATAATAGGCCTGCATGGCCCCAGGTTTCCTGTATGGTAATTCATTACTAATCTGTAGTTTGATGAAATAAGTGTCTCTATGAAATACAAATTAATTTTGGAATATGCAACATTTAAGCACAATAGGCTTTTTCACAGCAGACATTTCGACTTACAATTAAGAAAAGCACAGGTGTTACAAATAACATTAATGATTGCTCAGGTCCAGTGTATAAATCACGACAGTGGGCCAGCATGCACAATACAAGGACACTGAAACTAAAGCAGCCATCATTCATTTTGTCATTTACACCATGTGCCTCTTCAAAATGCCAACATCAAAGAGGCCATTATTAGCGAAAATAATGAAGATTTTTGAAAATAGATTTGGACACACATTCTCAAGATCAAGTAATAAATCAGGACACAGTTGTCATTAAAATGCCAGCGGATGTGCTTTAGTAGTGCATGCTCTCATGTTTACAAGGCAGGGCCGATAGGACCCATCTTGATATCGTGCTGCAATGGTGCAATTTACCTAACAAATTTACAGCTAATAAAATGACCACAGACCAGTTGACATGCAGTGAACCTGGGGCTTTCCCACTTGGTAATCCAGCTATGTAAAATACTTGTACTTAACTTGAGCATTTCCATTTTGTGCTACTTTCTACTTCTACTCATCATTTTTTTAGGGAAATATTGCACTTTTTACTAGACTTCCTTTACTTTACTTTAACGGTATACCTTGTTACTTTACAATTTCCAATTTTATGAAACATATACTGAGTTTATAAAATTAGTTGCTTTGTTATAGGTTACATTACCAGCATTATGTAAAGAGGTTAAAATTAACTCCACCTCAGGTACATTACATTTCTGTTTACACATTGACACACATATAATTCTAATGAAATTATATATATATATATATATATATATATAAAATAACACTCTGAAAGAAGCTATTGCATTATAAGTACTTTTACATTTAATACTTTAAGTACACAATACTTGTTGTTTTGCTACTTTTCCAAAAACTACAGGTTTTTTGAAGATCTTGTCATCTGTCTGTTGTTCTGTTAGACAAAGGTTGATATTGACTGCAGGTCAGAAATCTGCTTTCATGAACTGGAGAAAGATTGTAATGAGAAAAGTGTTTTGATGAGGCTGAAAATGTTTAAATGTTCCACACAGATATATTGAGACAGACAGAGAGAGAGAGTCTGTTCTCAGTTGGTGGAGAAGTGTATTAATAACTGCAGCTCTTTCTCTAATCCTGATAAGAGGCTTTCTCAGTACTACTCAGTTCCACCTCGTGGAAACCATCTCGGGCGTGTTTCCGTGAAAACGGTACTAATGCCTCACATTCATCTGGATGTTCAAGTTGACAGTCTTTCAACAGGGAAAAATGAAACACTTTGAAAAAAGAGAAACATTTCTTAAGGTTTATTTCAAAATAAATTCACAGGCATATGCTCCTCTTCTGAGAATAAAACCAGTTGTAAACAGATGTCCTTAAATAGCCAACAACTGTTTTTCCCCCCACAGCCTTTGATGTCCATGCTGGTAATGATTTTGTAAGAAATTATCTTTTAGGAAAAGCATTCTGCACATAAAATAAAAACTAAATACACACGTAAGACTGTGTTTTATTATATATTTTAAAATTGCTTGTCACCCACCTCTGACCTTCCAATCTGCATGTCAAGTAAGTCGGCATGACCTCACAAAATAAGTAATAACTTGTCTTATCAATGTACTCTCCACTGTCTGAATTCTTAATTATAATGTGATTAGATTTCAGCATGTCCAATAAAATACAGACATGCAGAAGGAAGTAGAGTCATAATGACAAAAACACAAGCTGTATCAGGACAGCCATGCACATTCAGGGTAAAAAGACATATTTAAGAGATGTTGTGATGACTGTAATAATGCCCAAAAGTGTAAATGAGATCACTGTTGGCATGCCTGAGGAAGATCTTACGGAACGAAACATTGTCTTAAAATGAGAAATAAATTTGGAAAATGTATTTGGAGCCTAACAGTGTGCAGACCTTCATTGTGCCCTGTGCATCACTGCTGGCTTAGCCATGGTTCATCAGTTTCATTGATTTCATGAAGAGTGCATAAACATTGTTTTGTTGCACAAATCTTTGCAAACCTCAGGTCCCACATAATGAGCTCCAATGCAAAGAAAACAGAGATCCTCAGACACAAATCCAACTTATTTCAAATGATATCTCTACAGGAACAACAAAGCAACCAGCAATTGGGACCAGTGGTCTGAATCATGCAAAAACCTACCTACTCTCTTCTTCTTTGTGGGAACTGGCCCAGAGAAAGAGAAATAACTCGCATATTGGCATTGTAGAAATAAATTCAATTTACAGCAGCTGAAATCGACATATGAAAATAATAAAAAATATTACTTAGCAGTATCACTGTAGTAAGACTGAGCTCATTCATTTCGATATGCTCCCTCTGGGACATTTGCTGTTGCCTGAGGTGTCAAACTGTCCCAGATTCACAGCGTGTGGTCATGGAGTGTGACACTGACCCTCATAGGTTCCTGTCTCTGTGTCCTGCACCAGAGGGACAGAGACCCTCATATGGTGAAAGGGTAGTCTTGCAGGTAGCACAGCAGAGGCTTTGGGAGTGGCACCTGGTCGGGGCAGTTTGCGTGTCTGTTGATGGTGAGGCGGGTCAGGTGCTGCAAAGAAGGGAAGGCCTCTGGTTTGTGCAGGGGGTGCGCCAGCTTTAGAGGCACTACGCTGTCCTTAGCCGTGTGCTTGGCAGGGTCAGGCTTTGTCTGGGGATGGATGTCATCAGACGCCTGGCCCTGTGACGTGTGGCCTGAGGCCTTGTAGTACTGTATCAGGCTGACAACATCTGGAAAGGACTGCAGGTGAGGCAGGCTGGGGGAAATGGAGTCCAGCCAGAAGGAGCCCCTGCTGTAGTTTATGCGTATGCTGGTGGGTCCACAGCGGGTCTTCACTGAGAGGGCGAGCAGGTACTGAGGATGACTGCTGTCCCGCACCAGAAACGTGCCTTCAGACTGTTGTAGGAGAGCTTCCCGAGCCTCACTCGCTGAGATGGAGCGCCAGTACCAGCCTGGGATCAGACAGATGGTTTGGATATCAGTTTTTATTTTTTTTACCTTTACATGAATGAAGCTTTGGTGAATATAGCCATATGAATGGTGTTACTAGTGGTGGGGTTAGGTTTGACTCCTCAATTATTTCCACAATACTCCCCGCAAAGCATGTGCCACAATATCACCCCTCTGCAAATATTTACCATATTAAATAAATAATACTTATATTTAATCAAATCAAAACAGTCAGATGTTGCATTTCAATTAAATAAAACGTGAATTCAAAATCAGTGAGACTGCTGGTGTACCTGAAGTCTGTAGATACTGGAAAGTGGTGGTGATGCAGCGGAGGTCCTCTGCTGGGTCAATGGTTGAAGGAGAGGGCCGGGGACGGCATGAAGCTCCTCGTTCCTCATGATGGAAAATGGTCAATGCTCGGGCAACCATTTCTGAATGACAGGAGCCCTGTTGATATACGTGTAGCATTGCATGTTTGGTATCGAACAGAGATTTTTGTGCAAGCTGATATTGTATTCTGATACTCTCGCAAGTAAAAGTAGCAAACATTTTTAATTGATATGAGCTAAAAAGCACAAAACCAAGCAACCAGCAGTGGTGGAAGAAGTACTTTAACAATAACTCAGTGTAGAGATACTCAATTACAAGTTATGCATTTCAAATGTGAAAGTATTAGCTTCAAAGCATATTTAAGGTACAAAATGTAAATGTGCAAAATAGCCTATTTCAGAATAATATTCTATTGTTGAATTGTAATTACTAATTCATTAAAATGTACATCACTTTAATGTCGCAGCTGGTAAAAGTGGGCCTTACTTTGATTACTTTAATGCTGGGTAGCTTGTAAATTTCACCAAGGGATCGATAAAGTGTGACCTTTATCCATAACAATGTATAATTATTTATTTGTTGATTATATTTTGTAATATTGATCAGAATCTGCAAAGTAACCAGTAACTAAAGTCATCAAATAAAGGCAGTGGAGTAAAAAGTACAATATTTTCCTGTAAATTATGGAGTAAAAGTATGAAGTAGAAAATGTTAATACTCAAGTAAAATACCTCAAAATGATTTACCTCAGAATTGTACAGTACTTGAGTTATTGTAGCCTACATTACAAAACATACGGACTAAATGAAAAAAAATCTGTTAGTAAAAAACAACAACACACACAACACAGAATTAAAAATATCTAATTGATAAACTGCAGTCAAACGGTTATTGTCGTATTATATTGCTCGCATACAATCTAGAATAAAACAGACTTTGAAAACACACAAACAAATATTTGTCATTCGTTTAAAATAATGTTACCTTGAATAAAGAAAATCATGGAGCGCGTCCAGTTTGGTAAACTGTTGAAAAAACAGTCCGATGAATAATACAACAGATTCTCACAGTAAATACTCATTCAACATCGTCGAATAGTCTCGAACGAAGGAGAGAAAGGGAAAAATATTCCTTGTTGGGATGTGTTGTAGTCATAAAGAGGAAAATATCCGTGTGTGTCGGCGGCGGTGTGCAGTGAGACTGAGTGTCTCTGTGTTCAGTGAACTGCAGGACAGAAAACAGCTCAGTTCAGTTTGGACTGACGGAAGTTCCAGGAATCAATTTCCAAGAAAGGTTTTGTGTTTCAGCGCCCTCACTGACAGACAAGCTGCTGCGCTCTGTCAAAACACACGCACACACACGCGCACACACTGTCAACACACACCACTTCCGGTACGACTTTCACAATAAGATGTAATCACGCTTTGTGAAGAGAAGCTTACAAAACAAGATGAAAACAAGTGTTAATGATGGAGTCAGGTGTTACAGACAAAGCTCATCCTAAACCTGCTGTGAGAAATGATTTATAACTCAGTAAATGTCCTCATTCTATTATGTATGCTAACTGAGGTCATGAGTCCAAACCCGCCAATGTAACCTAACGCTTTTTGATCATTGGACTTTGTCCCTTTTATTTCGTAATGCCACTTTACATCACACATTTTGAAATAAAAATAGCTAGATATTTAATTAAAAATAAGATTTGCAGTATTGTCAAGAGAAGCAGGATACTTTACATAGTTTTTGTAACTTCCATTATAGCTAGATTTACCTAATACACTGACAACTGGGCGTATAAATCTGTATTTATTCATATGACAATCGTTTTATTAATGGGTTCTGATTGTAGAGTTTTTGTTTCCTCATCACCTGGTGTTCTTTCTAAACTGACATTCTACGTTTTATGTTGAAGGCAATTAGCCTTACTTCCGGTAATGTTTGAGTTAACTCTGTATGCTTTGATGCAGCTGCCAGTCATATATAATACACACACACACACACACACACACACAAAAACACTTCTCTGAAACACTATGAAATGCTCTCTCTATATAAATACTTAGCTGGAACATTTAGTGTCGTCTAATTAATATTGTACAGTAAACCAAACATTAAATAATAAACATTTCTTCCATCACGATGTGACCAATTATCTTTCAGCCAGTGTTTATTTCTTGTTGTTATGGAGACAAATGGCTCATTTGTTTTCCTGAACCGTGTCATGACAGAAGTCAGTATGTCTTCACAAAGTCAACTTTTATCATCATCACCCACCTCACAGTTCCCATGTACAAAGATAGCAACCACTTGAAAGCTGCCAGTCAGCTCTGAATTGTGTTTCCAGGAAAACTTGTTCACATCAACTGACTTTCCGCAGCAGTGAATGAAAGCAGCAGAACTGCACAGCTGAAGCCTCCTGTGTAGAGAGATGTCCTGGAAAACACCACACAACCAATTGACCTCTATACTGAGCCCTAATCCCTGCTGCTGGCCTGCGTGACTATAGGGTACCACATACATGCACACAGTCGGACAGAAATGAGGACATATACGCTACAAAATAAAGAAAATATTTTATTGTAGGACCATGTAAAACAGCCTTCAGTTGAGTGCAGTCAAACCTCGCTCAGGTGACTGAAGACGGTAAAGCATAGGCTGCCAACACCAAGGCAATATAAAAGATAATCCACCCTAAAACAGAAATTTCATAGCCATTTCCAGATGATTGTGAATACCTGAATCAATATGAGTGAAACCAGTGATATTAGTAATTCTAGAGATGATGGGAACATTGCCGTTATCTTGGACAGTAATGGACAAATGTTAATTAATCACAAAAACATTATAACCATACAAAATATTGTAACCTTTTAACATCAAGTTGTTTTTAGAGGGCTCTACTTCGGTTTTTGTACGGATTAAACAAACAAGATATAATGTGGAAATGATAGAGTTTTAAAGATACTGGTAGGCAAATTCAGTTATAATGCTAAGCTAAGCTAACTGGCTGCTGGCTGCAGTTTCATATTTAACGTATAAACATGAGTTGTATTGATTTTCTCATCTAACTCTCAGCAAGACGGCAAATAATTGTATTTCCCCAAATGTCATATTCCTTTTGCAATAATCTCCACACTGTCTGACAGTATCATACTGATCGTGTATCGGCTTGTTAAAAAGTATTTATTTAAGCTATATTGATATTCACAGAGTGACATATTCAAACCTAAGACTCCATGTGGCTTTCAACACTACATGATATGGAAAAATTATAGATGTCTTGTGCAACATTTTATACACATTTCCCCCAAATTCAGCCTGACATATTTGGTATACGTTTTAAATCTCGGCTGCAAGTGAAAATAAAGTTCTGCGTGTATGTTATGGCTACCCAATAGTTTGTAATGACGGACACACTGGAGGATAGGTATAGGGTTTAAGAAGATAAGCAACATTGTAGATGACTGCAACATGTTTTCATAAACAATTCAGCTGAGTTTAATCTTAATAAACCAAAAGATCAGCCATCCCCCTGGTTAGACTCTTAGCTATCACTTTCATAAATGTTTTCCCATTTAGAAGTTTTATTTCACCACAGGAAAATATAAATTAATTCTGATTTATTGCGGATCTATTTATTCTTCTTCCTGTTTTCAGTGTGAAATGTGTGACCGCAGTAAAAAGAAGAAATGGCTAGAAGCTAAACAGTCAAATAACAAGTAAATTCATAGATATAGTGTTGGTCTGCTTGTATGTGCTTGTGTGTATACTGTCTAACTTTACTCCCCGTTCTCCCCTGCACCCTTGATGAGGCGTTTGTTGCCCCTCTTTCCTCCTGGTCCTCGGGGTTTGGCAAAGGCCTGCTTTAAGGTGTGCTCTATTGGGTGCACCTCCTCGTACAGTAAGTCTTCTGTCAGGCCGTCGCCATTGTCTATCTCCATCTACACCCACACACACACACACACACACACACACACACACACACACACACACACACACACACACATCAATGGCTACTCTTTTCAATAAGATGACCAGTGTATAGATACATTATAGTGACCTTGTTAACTGTTTATCTTTATTGATATATTATTTGTTATTATCTAATTTGTGGGTGATTTGGGTGACCTGTACCTTCTTGGTGACCTCCAGCTGGTAGTCTCTCTCGACCTCGTCCAGTAGCCTGTTCTTACAGCTGGAGTATAGCATCCGTTCCTTGATGCTACAGGTGTACCCGGGCATCGAATATATGAACACTGGAAGAAACATAAAGCTGTACTCGTCATTTCTGCTGTTGAAGCTCTTTTGGCTATGAATCAAAAACCTGTATCACTCACAATCACTCACACCTCTAAACTACACACACTTCTGCGGGGGTGGACAGGGTACTAGAACATCCCCTCATAATAACTCGGCCCTCAGGGAAAAGCCTCAAAACTAACACATCCCGTTTTCTTAACAGTACTAACTGCAGAACCATCAAATTACTAAATTGCTCCCCAGTTCTGCACCAGCACTTTACGAAAGCAAAGCACTGTAACTGTATTTTAAAGCACTTTATTCTTATTTTGCACTAGATTTTACTCTTGGAGCAATATCTTTCATCTCATGTATAGTGATTTATGGGCAAGTGGTCATGAATTATCTTTTTTTTTGTTTTTCTTATGCATGTGTCCTGACTGTTAAGTGAATTTGTTGTTCTGTTATGAGCACACCGAGGCAACCTCCTAATAAATAAGGATGTGGAAGTGCTTGTGCTGAAAACTAGTCAGCAGGAGCTGCTGGAACCAGTCTTTGAGTAACATTTAGTCAACGACATGTGGCCTCTGTGAAAAGACCAATGAGTTGAGATTGTTTGAAAGCTGCTTTTTTTGAGCCTGAACTTGAAAACACGACATTGACTCTGAGGTTGAGCTGTGAAACTGCAGAGTGGAGTAATGTGGCATACTGTGATAACATAGTCACATGATCCATTGTTAAAAACAGTGAAAAATACAGATTAGTGCAGCTTTAAGCATGGATGGGACCAACATGGAGTCAATTGACAAAGATGTGAGGTTTTGATTCTTTGACAAACATACTGAAAAAAAGATATTCAATTGCCCTTATCATAATTCCTGTGTTCTTCACATGGAGCTCCCTTTTTCTATTAAAAAAAGATGATAGAACATGCTATACGTATATCTATATGATACCTGACAAGCACATGATGTTACTTTGCCTCCCTGCATTAGCCCACCACTCTGCTCACACCTGCGGTGAGACAGTACTGACCCAGTGCCTCCTGCCGCTGGCCCTGGTGGGAATGTTTGAAGATGAAGAAGTGGTATCTGGGTGAATCTGTGGGAATCCTGTAGGGAAGCTCATGGGTCTCTGTCGGTTTGGTGTGAACCAGCTCAACGGTCTCTTTCTCTACATCCAACCTCTGCAACGCAACATACACATACAGACTTTGTTCAGGGGTCAAGTCACGCACAGCCAATTTCACCTCATTTTACTGACACACGCAGATACACTGTTTGTTTTTAAAAAAACGTCCTGACAATTGTTTTCTGTTCTAGGGGGATTTGTTTTCATGTTGCACGCCATATAATCAGTAAAAAGGTTTTATATCTGGGCTCACCAGCTGTATGTAGTTGATGCGTCTCTGCTTGAGTTGCTGCAGAGCTCGTTTGGCCTCTTCTTGTAACGGGAATGCAAGACCTTGAAGAGACTGTGCCCTTTTGTCTAAGCCAAACTCCATTGTAACCTGTGGGATAAAAAACAAAAAACAAAACAGAAGACCATGTTGATATGCCCCAACACATGACAGAAAATGAAATGCCAGTGAATTAAAAAGATTGTAACAAACCCTCGCACGAGCTGTTGGAGTCCCAATTCGTCTACGTTCATCCTGTGGATATAAAAGATTTAAAATCTCTTCTTCAGGCACACTCAGTTCAATTTGTATTAGAAAGAAATTGTACATACCCACATAACTTTATCCTGCAGGAAGACAGTAGAAGTATACAGAATGAGTACTACACATAATGTACGTGTATGCTTCATATCATATTCAGATAGTTTGTGTTGTTTAGTTAGACATTTAAGGCATAAAGGTATAAAGGCTTTTTTCTGTGGCCCGGCTCAAGTTGTGGAACTGCCTCCCTCTACGTCTACATGTTCGATCAGCTCCCACCATCGAATGTTTTCCAATCCAGGCTAAAAATATTTTTGTTTTCTCTGGCTTTCTACGTGTTTTAGGTATATGAACATGTGTTTTTGTCATTGTGTCATTTTCCTTTATATTGTGTAAAGCAGTGTTGTAGTCAAGACCATCTAAACCGAGACCAAGTCATGACCAAGACCAGAGTTCATCAAGACCGAGACAAGACCACGACTTTGAGGGGTTGAGAGACCGAGTCAAGGCCAAAGCCAGACCAGTGTGATAAAATGACACGCAAACATCCTCAAATTAATTTGAAAGATCTACATTCCCATTAAAACACTCACAGAAAACAAATGAAGATTCCTCTCCATTCACCTCTTTACTGACTTATATACAGTATATGTGTCATAAAAAAATGTCTTGATAAAATAATCAAAAGACATTGTAGAGGTGAATTTTATGTGTGGAAATTGGCCTTTGATTTCTTCGAACAATCACGGTAACAATAACGACGTTTCAAACAGTTTAGTGATATCCCTGCAGTTGTGGTCTTGAAATAAAAGCCTGACTTTGTCTGAGGCTGAGACAAGACAGAGTAAAAACGAGGTTGATTATGAGTAGTTTGAAACTGAGCTGTATAAATAAGCTGACTTGTTTAAATTGTACCTCTGTGACTTTGATTCGTTGTAATTCCTGCTCGGCTGCTGTGAGCGGAGCCGGGGAGCAGCAGGAGGACATGTGTCGCAAGTATCCCTGGAAGCAAAGGTCATCCTGCAAACAGCAACACAAACAGGATGGTACTCAGTCAGTAGCGGTTAAAGAGTCACCGATCAGTCGTCATGCTGGAGGGGTTTCACTCACCTCGACCGTGCCAAACATTTCATCTTTAATGTGACCTCCTCCAAACTCTTTCTTGAGAGTGGCTCGCGTTGCTGCATACACCATCTTCTGCCTCACCTGAGGCGTGCCAGGACAGACAGGAGGAGATAGTGACACAATAACATCAGGTTTAAACCTAGATTTCGATAGGCATTTTGTGTGTTGTTAAGTGAGGGTTTGGTAGTTTTTTATAGCCCCCTGAACACAAAACTGAGTTTTGCTTGTTGGTGCTTCACTCGGATGTTTGAACTTCACTGTGCAGAATGATGTGAGTGCAGAGTTTGACACGATACGTTGTTTTTTTACAACAATCGACTGAAGGGGGCGAGTTTCTCTGCACAAATCTGTGTCCCCCGCAGTTAAACTTTTGAATGTAACAACATTTGCATATTCATAATTTCTAAGTTCTTCAGTAAGGGAGATATAAATATAATTTTTAGAATTTTTAACAGTTTATTTGAAAATTATATCATACACATTATGATTGAAAGCAGAGTGTTTTGTGTGTCTTAAAACATGAGTGTATTCTCTTAGACACAATGGGGTTTCTCTTGTACATGCTTTACTTTTATTTAGTTTCTGATCTGTTTTAGTCACTTTTGGTCGGAATTATAATACAATACATTATGTATCTTCAGAACAATGAATATGTGGAATGTGTTTAAGGCAGGTGTTGTGTAATACCACATATACAATGAACCATAAATACTTTTGTTTTTTATTTAAATATTTTTCAATTGTGATAATTGTTACGATCTAAGCCTGAATTCATGTTGAAAATTGTATTTTACCTGCACTTGAAAATAACTTTTAAATCTTACCCAAGTTAAAGTTTAATTTAGGCAAGTTTGAGTTTTGTCTCAGGGTTAGGGTCATTTTTTAATCACAAAAAGTTTGGCAGCAGACTGGAAGACTGAATTCAATCAGTGATCATTGACATGTCAATTAGACGCTCCAGACATACTGGTGATTGGTCAGGAGACCAGGCGATGAAGATCCACTCGTATCCCTGTGCATTCTGGGAGTCCAGACGGTAGAGGATGTAGCAGGGTTCCTGAGGCGTGAGCAGAGGAAGCAGGAAATGATCGTAATCCTTGTCCCAGCTGTGTGCTGGCTCTCTGTATGAATCTAACACCAACTCCTCTGCAGACAAAAAAAACGCGTATCAGCATCTCAGGATTTAGATAAGTCACCTGAAAGCTTACTTGTGTCAAATCTCTCTGATTAGAAACATCTCATGTTTACCATTTCTGATGACAATCTTCATTATTCTGATGGCACCTCCCCTCGCTCGAGCCAGAAACTCTTTCAGCTCCGATGTTGCTAAAGTAATATAAGGCGGACAAGTCAAAACTGAGGATGGGGGGGTTGAAAGCAGGTGAGACAGTTGGGTAAGTAAGAACCTGAGACTCCACTTCAGGGAGAAAATTTGATCCACTGCCAGAGATTCACGCCATCACCTGTCCTACAGTGACTCAGACAGGAGACGTTTGTACCAAAGAACAACTCAGAAATTTCAGTGAGAGCGTTAAAACCGCCACATTTGCCCCCAATTTTCAAACCCATGAATGGACGTTTGATACTGAAAACCAGAGTTAGCTATTTATTGCATGTCCTGCTTCGCTCTCACCATGGTTACCAAACACAGCGGTCTCATAAATGATGTAAGATCAGGTGAGAAAGGTGAGAGAGGTATGCTTCTGCCAACCTGTCCCCCAACGCTCCAATTACCAAATGCCATAACACACATATATATACGTAGCTCTTAAAACTATCCTCAAATGCCCGTAGGTGCTAAATATCATGATTACTGGTATCACAACATAGAAGACGAACATTTTAACTGTGAATCAGTTGTACGCTGTACAGGCTTACACTTTTGTAGATGTGCAGCCTTTACAGTCCACAATATATTAGGATCCACAGGTTTATCAATTTAAGGGACCACTTAAAGATGATCTTAAAAGAGGATATCAGAGAACATTACCAGTGAGATTAGGATGTATTGCATGCTATGGCACAGCTTAAAAGCTAAAAAGATCATTATAAAACACATTTGAACTAAACTATCACACACAAAAAAACCTCTGCTCTATGAAAACGTATGTAAACGTTCAAGAGTTATCCTTTAAAAAAAACGAACTTACCGTTAATTCCAGTTTGGTGTGACATCTTTTTGCAGCTTCACACTCGTCTCATGCAAGAAGGACCAGGTCCAGGACTCTGTGTCCTTGCTCGTCTTGCTCAACAGGTAGGCTGCCTCTCCACTGTTGGCAGACAGATGGACCCATGCGCATCAGTGACATAAACGCCTCGAGGGTGACTTGGGAGATTCCGAGCACTTGAAACACAATCTGCGGAACTGTGGCTGATGAGTAATAATGTGCCTGTCAGTGGATATGTCACCCTAACCACTGATCTAAAACTCTTTGAGTATCGATGACCACAACTTTAAAAAGTCTCGGTGGGGGAGCGTGTCCCAAGTCACACACTGTCCTGTACTGTACTGTGTGTGAGGCCACGAAGAAATCCACTACTTATAGCATCAGTGGTCAGTACAGTGTTTTTAGATGCTGTCAGTGCGCCACATGTAACAACATTTTAACACTCATTCACATGGTGGCTGATCAGCTCAGCAGATGGCATGATCTCAAATTCCAGTCATAGAAATGTGACACCGTGCAACAATCTGACCGCTACAATTCAACACTGATCAATGGAGTAAAAATGGGGGTCTTTTTCTAATGTATTTGGGGTCAGTGCATTTTGACTCGCACGCAATTAAAATATGAGCGTGAGGTTTCTTACGGCGAGATATAAACACCTTTTATCCCAAAGTTTGAGGTAAAGAGCTCCAGATGACTTGTGAGAACACTAGAAGAGTTGGCTCCTGAACAGTCAGTACTAATGGATCCATTACTGGCAACTGACAAAAACACAAACAAACTCATCAAGGTCACACACAGCACACACACTCCCAGGTTAGTGCAGGATGTGTGATAGGGAGAAGTGAAAGAGGGGGAAAAAGTGGTAAGAATGGTAAGAAGGGGAATGCCAAATGCTCAAACCACCACATCTTATTCCTCTCCTTTCACACATCTTTTGTGCACACACACACATGATGGAGGGAGGTGAGAGAAAGATAAGTGTGTACCTGTGAGGTTACCTGTGATGGGATCATCCATTATTCACTCAGCGGTGAGTGCACAACCCAAGCATCTATACATTATTCAACAGAACCCCCACCCCTGTCCTCTACTTCAGGAAGACACACTTTATGTGCACAAAAAGATAAACACCCATTCATTAAACTGATTAAAACTGCTAGAAGTTTCTCTCACGCTTGCGTGTGTATTCACAGATTGGTTTAATGACTATGGGACAATTGTTTGCATCTGTTAAGTGAGCTCATGTCAGTGACATCGTTTTGACAAGCACCAATATCCTAATCCTTTAAATAGCTAAGAAGGTCACATTTATAAAGACTCTGCTTTTAAGGTTGTGATGAGAAACTTGTAGAATCTTAATAATATTAATCTAATATTAATCTCTATAAAGTTGAAACAATTAACCAATCAGTCAATCTAGGGAACATTTATCAGCAAGTATTTAGACAATAAATGAATAATTTGTTGTTTAAGCAAAAAATGACCTAACTTTGGTTCCGGCTTCTTAAATTTGAGGATTTGCTGCTTTTCTTTGTCTTATGTGACAGTAAACTATCAAATGACAAAACAAGCGATGGGAAGAAGTGACTTTGAGCTTTAGGAAATTGTGATTCCCAATTCTTCCCCATTCTCTGACATTTGATACTTTTTTCCAAAAAAACAAACACCTGAAAGTGTCAGATTAATCGATAATGAAAATAATCTTTAGTTCGAGCCCTCGTACTGTACACGACTTATCTAAAGTATAATAAAACTAAGGATGTCAAAAGAAGAAAAAACTGTTTCATCTAAAACACTTTATTACAAATATTCAAACAGTAAAACACTGATTATTATTTAGTTAAATTTCGCATGAAATATCAAGAGACGCGGTTAAAATCTTTAAAAAAATGAAATGTACTGAATGGCATTAAAAAATACTGAGGTATGTGGGATTTTGTTGTCCCAGCGGCATCAACACTTTTCAAAGTAAAAAAAATACAGTAGGTAAAAATGATTAAAGTAAAAGTGAAATATTTTTCTCTGATAAACTATCAGGCCTCGTGGTTCTTATCGAGCCAAGGAAGGCAGTCCAATACACAATGCTGCATCACTGCGACATGTTTAGCGACGAAGACTCTTTTTGGAAACGTCCCTCTACGTGTCGTCAATACACGGGAGCCAAAATGTCTGTTAAAAGAACAGAAGAAGAAAATGCGAATGAGCACTCTGTTCATAGCAGTTTGTCTAACAGCAGCTGCTGTACATGAGAGACTGACGCGATATGTTTGATCTCACCATGTTGGTGCAGGCGCTGGCGAACGTCATGTATCTGGGGTTGAACTGCAGAGTGTTGATGGGTCCCGGATGCTTCCCATCCAGCACAGCGACCTTCATCCCGCTCTCAGTGCTCCAAACATGGACTCTCCCGTCCTCTGAGCCTGCACAGCAAGACACATTTTAACACTGTCGCACCAGAGATCTTACAGAAAGAGACCAAAATATTAATATTAATTATTTAGGTTTACCAATCATGACAAATTGAGAGTCTGGAGTGAAGCAGGCTTCCAGGGAGATGCCTTTACTGTTGTTGTAGCCCTTAACATAAGCAAAGATAGACACCTTTAAGTAGTCATAGTAGGCTAATATACAGACAGGTGTGATTCAGTAGGTTTGTGGTAATGTGATTAAACTACTTCACGTGTCTTACAGAAAAGGTGTGCAGCACAGATCCATTGAAGGCATTCAGGACACGAATCACCCCTCCGTTGGTGGAGATGAGAATCTGTTTCCCATCATTACTGAATTTGAGTCCAGTCCAGTCACAGACGCGATTAAACCTCATATCAAAGGAGGCAAAGGGACCCTTTTCACAGAGAGATCACATGTATTAATAATACAGTACAACAGAAAAAAAACAATAAAGCATAGTACATATCGTAATTTGCATTTTACCTTGTCAAAAGCACGAAGGTCGTAGAGTTTAATGGCCTGTGATTCCACCCCTGCAGCAAATATCAGCCCATCAGGGTCAAAGGAACATACAGGTTTCCCCAGTGGATTAGTCAGACCCTGAAACACAAACACATACAAATAAAAAGATAAAAAAACAGAGCAAGAAGACGCAACAGGAAGTCTGGATTTTTATTTCCGCCACATTTCATCCTTCCCAATTAATGACTGCAATTTCTGTCATACATTGTTCATATTAATGTGTTTCCTTCAATTTGGTCTTTGTTTACGGTTTACTGTCTTAAAGCATCGTGTTTTAGTTGAGAGGGTGGATTTAAGTGTAGCAGTCAGGTCAGGGGACACCCAGTGGTCACAGGACAAATGCTAATTAAAAAGGTGATTTGAAACCCAATGGTGTGCAATAATTGAATGTGTAGTAATCTGGGAAGTCCTGCAGTAACAGCTCCAGCAGTAGCTGTAATCATACACTTGGGTATCTGTCCACAGAGAGCAGAGGAAGTGTTCGGTGCCAGCCCGACTACTCACTTGACAGTTTGGAGCACGCAGATCCCAGATCCGGATTGTTTCGTCCAACGAGCCCGAGATAAACGTATCATCTACTGGTGACATTGAGAGAGCAATAACTCTAAAATCACAAAAGAAACAAAATTTAACCATTAAATAACAAACCTTCGTTCTAGAGAAGCTAAACAAAGACCAGATAAGATCATTTGTTATGAGCCTATTAAAATAACAACAGATGTAGGGAGTATAAAATGTACATCTTGAGATCATGTGTAAATGCACATTATAGCTTCTTGGTTTGCACTAGAGCTGCAACAATTATACAAATTATCGATTGACAGAAAATTAACCGACAATATTTTGATAATCAATTAACAATGAATTAAGTACATTTTGGGGTAAAAGGCTTCTCAAATGTCATGAACCACTGTTTTTCTTTGTCTTAACATTAAAGTAAACTAAATATCTCGAGTTTTAGACTGTTGATTAAACAAAACAAGGCATTTGATGACTGGTGATGAGCATTTTTAGCTGTATTCTGATGTTTTATAGACCAAATTATTTTTTGGAGTACTCGATAAAATAATCTGCAAATTACTCGATTATGGAAATAGTTGTGGTTGCAGCCCTAATGTTCACATACGTCGATGGTACTTTTCCACCTAGTGTGCATGCTTTGTATTCATAATTGCTTTGTGAGTGGACACTACATTACTACTTTGTTCACGTTCATATACAGTAGCCACATTTCTTTCCTTCCTTTTCTCCTCACCTTGCAGTGTGACCTGGGAAATACCTGATGAACTTGTTGTCAGTGAGTGACAGATATCGGATAGTATCTACAAGACACAAAATTCAATAATAAAATATATTTTCCAAAACATATCAGAGCACATATACAGGGTTCATACACATTTTGACCAATGGATTTCCATGACTTTAAACCAAATTTCCATGACCAAACATTTTGTGAAATCTCGGTGTATACATGAAAAAGTGAGAAAATGTAGTATTTAAACTACCAATGAGAATTCAAAGCATACAGTCTACCTTAAATGACACAAACGAATGAGAGACAATAGTTTGATTAAAAGAATAAACATTTATAAATATACTCTGGTTGACAGGCATTCATACCACTGACACATCAATAAGAGCTTTAGTAGGTAGTAGCATCCAGCTAGTGCACACGTTGCTTTCCCTTTTGTAGTGCAATTTTTCCATTGAACCCTGTTAATGTGTGGCTTAATATTAACTTCCACTGTTACTGTACAGCTGTTAGAATTGTGGCCCATCTTCTATTTGCAATTAATATGCATTCAATCCAGTTCAATTATTTAAATGAAAATGATAATCTACTCTGGCTAAAGTAGCTTATCAAGAGTAAAATAATAGCTGTGATCTATACACACCTCTGCATTAGCAACCTGCTGAAATGAAGGTACAGGCACCTTAACCCTCATTACTTCAGGGTTCTTGAGAGCAACGTGGGACTGTTGGGACTGTTGGTACACTGGCTGTGGTCATCACAGTGAACAGTGTGATGAGAGGGCACGTGAGCCCTTGTTCATATCCTTGGAGCAGAGGCTGCATTTAGCATACCCTGCCTTATTAATGCATTTAAAACACTGTGACAGCAGGAAGCTGTACTCACGTCTGTTTAGACCTCCACCTTTATCCAGGCCCAGCTCCACCTTTATCCAGGCCCAGCTCCACCTTTATCCAGGCCCAGCTCCACCTTTATCCAGGCCCACCTCCACCTTTATCCAGGCCCAGCTCCACTCACAGCTCAGCCCTGCGTCGAGCTGCGCTACAACCAGCCTCCTCCCCCTGAAGCTCTTTGACCTCAGCATCTCATCAGCATCATCCTCATTCTACTTTGAGTTAAAACAAACAACCTGCAACCAAATGCGCCGGTGTTCTGGTTTAACGTTAACGAGTGACCGCGTGAACTGAACCGGAACACGGGGGGGGCTGCATGTTTCATCACGTTACGTTTTTTCCTCCTAAATCGTGATAATGATGAACGTTAACAGTCGACAAAGTTCCGCATGCAGTGGACGTTAACTTAACCCAGCAAGTCTGAACGGTAACGGTACATAACGGAACTTAAACTTTAACGGAGGGAAATGAAGACGCTGTAGACATCTGAACGCTGACTGGCCAAGACTCGACACATCAAAGATGTTCTATTGTGAAGATCACGACATCACCTTTTCTCCTCGTCTCACTCCAATCTGAGAAACGCCGGCTGGCAACTCAGCGTAAATGAACGACATGGAAATATGAATATAACAAATTTCCATGACTTTTCCAAAACTTTTGGGATTTTATTTTTTTCCATGACTTTTCCAGGCCTGGAAATAACCATTTTAAAATTCCATGACTTTTCCAGGTTTTCCATGACCGTACGAACCCTGCATATATTTGCATTATGTTTCAGTTGATATTGTTTGTTGGGTGCTTTGTGCCAACAGCCGACAGTCATTACTGAGTTATTACCATCTAGTTTGTTGGAGCTGTAGACTACAGTCTGTGCATCTCCGTGTGTGTAGTGTATGAGGTCTACTCCATACTTCTTGCTGAACATGGTCCTTTCAGGTCTGAGAAAAGACAGAATATTTAAGCATGTTAATCATTTGATCACCTGATGAACCGCAGTGAACATGCTGCACTGCCATGGTCCAGACACATCCACGTGGACCAACTCATCTTAAATATTTAAACAATGTATGGGAATGTATCATTATTTTTCATGTATTTGGCGGGTAAATACATGAGACAGTTGCTGTTTTTAATGTAATGATAATATTGGCCACTTACTTTCCTTCTCGGATGTCATATAACACAATGCAGTCGTCGTCGCTACTTGATATTGCATTTTCACCATTTGGGCTGAAGTCCACACAGTTGATTTTCTGTGCATTTTCTCGATATGTTCGAGCAACCCTGAAACTTCGTAACACGCTGTCTGTGATCTTCATGTCTGCAGCTTTTTTATACAAAGGGACCTCTCTCTCGGCTCCCTCTGATTTAATGAAGTCAAGTCGTTTCTCGCGAGCAATCCACAAGCAATATCATTTAAGAGCCTTGACGCAAAATGCAATCTTACATTTTCAGAAAAACAACAATGGAACCAAACGTTACAACCAGGTTACAACATGCATCCATAGAGCGTCTCGGAGTGACAACAGTACGCTCGGTTTGTATGCCATTGTGTGCCAGGGGGTCAGAGTCATCGTTACATTCAGTGGCCTCAACGAATCGGCTCGTGGCGGGGAGGGAAACAAGCACACCTATTCTAGGAAAAAGGAAATACGACACACCGCTACCGGAAATGTTTGTTGCATGTATAGTTACAATGTAAAACCCCATGTTTACGTCTGGTTTTGAAGGTCAGACATATGTTTCTACCAGCACTTGGATTTTATTTTTGTAGAGTGAATTTTGTTTGAAGCAGTTTGACTAAATTGTGAGAGAAAATTGCAACTAGTTTTGTGATGTTTAATCCGATGTATAACAACAAACAACCAAAGTCCAAAAAGTGCACTTATTTACCTGAACTCAAATAAACTAAAATTCACTTTACAACTATTAAAATATTGGATTCATGTATTTTCTTGCTTTTCCTTTTTTTTTTAGATGTGCGGAAAATAGTTTGTGCGCTTTTATTGCCTTTATTCTGAAAGGTGCCGCCCGGAAGTCGGAAGCAAGAAACTGCAAGCATGTGTCCTCTGGAGTTTGTTTGTATCTCCAATCTTATGTGAACCGTCTTAACTCTGCTCCACAATGAACCGCTGTAGAAGAATATCTTGTAGTGACATTAAATCCGGTCTGACCATCGCTTTCTCTCGGATCAAACCGCCGACAAACTGCCGCAGGTGTCCGGAGGCAGCGCGGTTCCTCAGCCGGAGCCATGCCACTGCTGCTAAACCGGCTACAGGCTCCGACACGGAGGAGAAACCCCGGCTGAGGGCCATCGACCTGGCGCAGAAGGTCCAGCAGGAGAAGTCGAAGTCCCCGGCGGCAGAAGAGCCTCCGCTGTCGGGCCAGCAGAAGAGGGTGATGGAGCTGAAACGGTTCAGTCTGCAGCTACAAAATGTTCACCCTAACGTGCTCGCCAAGCACCTCCACAAAAGCGTGCTGTACCAGGATAAAGATGTAGTTGTCATCAACAAACCTTATGGCGTTCCTGTCAGAGGTAAACAGTATTGTTTTACACTGATGTGCACTGAGTATGTAACGTTACAGTAAAAGTATGTGTTACAAGTATGGGGATTTGAAACAATTAGTTGATTAATCAATTGACCGAATAATTGTCAATTATTCGTTTGTCATTATTCATGCAAATTAGCTGTCTGTTTTATGTTGACTTGAATATCTCTGTGTTTTGGACCCAGCAATTTTAAGTTGTCACCTTTGGCTCTGGGGAATTCTGATATAGACATAGATATAAGATTATTCTGCAGATTAATGGATAATGCAAGCAAATACTAAATTGCATTACTTTGCATATCTGCCAACATGCAATACTGTTGTGCCCATACTGATGAGAACAATCAAGTATTTGCAAATACTATTGGTCTGCTGATATATTGACATGGTTCTACACCAATGATGAGAGCATACAGTCTAGTATTACACTATCAGATTTGGAATAGGTTTTATGTACAGGATATTGGTTGAAATGTCAAATCATGCTGAAGTTGGAGAATCTGGACCTGAATACATGTACATTTGTGGTTGTTGCCCTCAGATGACAGTGGGGCCACGTCCATCTCCTCTGTGCTTCCTGTTCTCTCCAAAATGATGGAAGGGATGAAGGTCAAGTCTGAGTCTCAGCTGCTCCCTTGTCTGAGGCTGGAGAAGGAAACAACAGGAGCTTTCCTGCTGGCCAGGAGTGAAAAAGTAGTGGAGCACATACTCGACCTTCACAGAAATAACCAAGTGCAGAGAAAGTACTGGTGAGATACAGTTGTAATGTGGGGATAGAAGAAAAGAGGTTAAATTCTTAACATGTTTGTTAGTCTCAATGTATTTGCTGTTCCCGCTCAGGGTCATCACAGTCGGTGTACCCGTTCCATCACAAGGAGTGATCGACATCCCCATCATAGAGAGAGAGGTCACGGGCCCTCGGCCACACTACAAGGTGTCTCTTCTTCTCTGGTTTAAAAAAAAGTACCCGTTTTAGCTCCAGAAATGCAAAGAGCTGCTTTCCTTTTCTGTTTCATGTTAAACAGTAAATTGAACACTTTGTTTTTTTTCTGTCAAGATTTAACTTTTTGTATATTGGCTATTTACAGTTGTTGCAAGTAAATTATCAGTTTATCATTTAATAATTATTAAAGTTATTATAGAACTATTCATTTGAACTTTGATATTTTCTTCCAGATGGCTCTCAGTCCTCTTTTCAGAATGAATGATGCTGGCGACGGTGTGACCAAAGTCCGTGCCCATCGGCAGGCACATGCTGCAGTGACCAAGTACAGAGTGTTGGACAGCAGCAGTGGTTGCAGCCTCGTGGAGCTCCAGGCTTTTACTGGTAAGACTGGTGTGTTTTTGGTCACAGGAATTAAATGCCAATTAATTTTGGTAAATTTCTTTATTTTATTTTTTCTCTACATGTCTGCTTTCTTATGTCCACAGTAGGGAAGCACCAGATGAGGGTTCACATGGCACTTGCTCTGACGTGCCCCATTCTTGGTGACCACAAATATTCCCACTCAAGCAAACTGGCACCCCAGGTAAAATATGTTTGCAATGTGCCACATAGAACAGGTTTACATGTAACGGATGCCAGTAGAACTTAGCGGCATACTGCTAACAATCAGCAAATGCCCCTTAAACAAGAGTGGTGTATCATCAGCTGCTCTTTGATCTCAGCGTTGATCAAAGGAGAACAAACTGAGGGATATCCTTTAAAAGTCACTGTGGGCTGGGGATGAGCCAACCGGCAGGGGTGTTTCTAGGATTCAAAGAAAGGCGGGGCGTAGCCCCACAGGGAGCGGCATGTTTGCGTGGCAATTTCTTTTGGGGCCCATTTGGGGCCGTGGATATCCATTGTTTCAGACAGTTCATAGATTGGTTCAATCAGAAAGAGTGTGATTTTGCTCTGTAGTTTTGCTTGCATTCAGTATATGATAACACAAGAGACAGAATTTCAGGGTCATAGTGGAATTTGACAACACAAATATGAACTTTTCTCAAATAAAGAATATCCGCGTCACTCCCAAATCCTAATTCTTAAACGGACCGCAGACAATGGATGGAGAATGGACCTGAGAGTGTCAACTTTATATCGTTAAGTATGATGATAGGCTGTTGGATTGTAATTTGAAGGGGGAGAAAACATACAAACCAGAACGCACACACATATGTAGCATGTTAGAGTTATAAATAACTTGTCCATGTGAGAAAAAATTGTTTAATTTAATGACATCACCAGAATAAAAATATATATTTTTTTATACTTTTTTTTTTTAAAAGCCAATAATGCCAAATTATTTGGGGGGGCTGAAGAACATTTTAGGGGGGCTTCAGTCCCCCTAAAATAGGCCTAACGACGCCCCTGCCAACCGGCATCCTGTACTTTCATCTCCCTTCCACATAGCAAACATTTTGATTAGGTGTCTCATTGTACTACTTTAAGGTTGTGGCCTTTGGAAAACCAGCAACTCTTGTGGTCTTACTGATTCTCAAACCTGCCCTGTTGGCATCCAAAACGGTGCCTTTTTAAATCTGCTGGGTCATTTAATTCACCAGCATGTCAAGTGTGGAAAATAAGTTTTTGTTGCTTGCACTTGGGTATATTATTAAACATACACAAATAGGATTGAAGGACCTACATTTCTGCAAGAGCTCAGTTTCTGTCACTAAGTATCAGTGTCTCACATAAATCACTAATCTGTTCATTTTGGTGGACAGAAATTACCAGAACGTGTGCTGGGAAAGCTTGGACTGGAACAGAGCAAGATCCGGTACCTTCCTCTTCATGTGCATGCGCGACAGCTGACGCTGCCAGGAACCAATGGAGCCGACATAAGCGTGTCCTGTCCCCTACCAAAGTACTTCACACAAACATTGAATCGACTGCATTTAACTCTTCCTGATGAAAAGGACTATTAATAACCACTTCGGCAATCCAAGTGATGTCTAAATGTATTGGACATCAGCTGTGAAGGATGTCAGCCTGCAACGTGGGGAAAAGTGTATCATGTGTGCCATTTGAGTTAAATGGGAAATAAAATGATAAAGTGCTGCAGTCCTGAAACATTAACATTATTGCCCTTCCGGTTCTTTCGTTTCAAAGTCCATTTTTTTTTTTTGTTCATGGATTTTTGGTTGGATGCCTTAAAAGATCTGTGTTTGGGGAGTAAGCTGTAGGTAGGTGTCGTCACTGCCAAGATGGCGATGGCCAAAACCACCAACTTTCCGCTTCTAAATAGCTCTTCAGAAACCTATTGGTGGTGTCATGGAAAATAACCATGTTTTATACAGTCTGTGGTTTTCACATGTAGTCATTTAAGACGATCAAACCTTTCATCATTTGTGTAGCGCTCCCTGAGGAGCTTTTCTAACCACATTCATGAATGACATGTCAGCTCGATATGTTTTTATGGTGTACATCCAATTAAACTGCTATAATCATGACATATTTACAAGTGCAAACAGCCAGCAGCAAATTATATCAGAACATTCTCTTATATGTCACTCTTTATTTGTATAGTACCTTTCGTGCAAACATCTGTAGTTCTTCACATAAAAAAAAAATATATATAATCTGTAATGTTGGACCATAAACAAACTACACCACAGTCGCATGTCCTCAGCGTCACCACCTCTAAGCTAAAGGCGGAGTAGTGTTTGGCGTGATGACGTTTAGTATAGTCTCATTTAGTTACTTTTTAGCAACGGACCTTTTAAGACTCTCGAAAGCTTAAAAATGCAAGAGTGGAATATTTACTGACGTACTTTAAATCTTTCCACAGGAGCTGCTCTTTGTATCAAATGGACATTTTGTTATTTTCCCCCATTAGTGCCTTTGCATAATTTCCAAAAAGCACAGGTGTGTTGCCTCCCTCTCTTGAACAAATGTTTGGGTTGGTGCGAGAGACGTTTTTTGCCACTTGAATGACCCTCTGTCTTGAAAGGCCATGCTGGCCAGGATAACTTCAGGCCCCTGATGCTTCACAGACTCCACAATTGTTGGAACAGAACGCTTTGCCAAGATGTATGTTCCTCTTCTGGCTTAGATGAGAGAAGCCAAGTCCTGAGTACCTCCAGTCTGTCCCTCAGCCAGCCGTGATGGTTAGCAGCTGACTTTCTACAATCTCAGAACAAGGAAGGAAATATTAAAAAGCCTTTATTATAGTTGCTAAATCTTTAAAAGAGTCAACATGTAAACACTGTAGGTCTTTGTTATTTAAAAAAAACTAACAAAACTGGTGTGGCCACACTTATTTAGTATGAACACCCAATGGGAGGCAATCACATGACTTGGATAATCACATGACGGGTGAAACAGGTTGAAAATAATGAGATGAGATAGTACAGAAACAGATAGATACCCATGGGTTCTTTTTAACATAGACTAAGAAAAACATCTATATAGAGAAACAATTTAAAAAAATTTTTTTTACAGAAAACATGAAGTCTATGTCCTCATGACCAGGATACTGAAACGCATCCTGTGGATGAATCCATATAGTGAGAGGCATTATCAGCACAATGAACTTTAATATACTTAACTCTGTTCAAGTTGTTGCTTTCAATGCTAATATTCAAATCTGAATCTTGAATTTTAAAATTTCAAAATATATGAAAAATCTTATTTTGTATATGCAGGTTATAACAACTTTTACATTTAGTTTGGAGTGAGATTCGGTGTCTGTGAAGTTGGTGTATTTCATCAGTAGGCGTTCTCTGATATGACCCACCGCAAGAGTCGGGGTCATCAATCCTCATCCCCCAGGAATTTTAAATCATTTATCGATAAAAAAACAAGTTGATACTCATGGTCAATGACGAACATGTTTGGTTGATCCAACCTCCAGACATCAGAACCTCCATGATGCTGATTAATCACCCCGACTTCAGTTAACAAGTGGAAACCGTCGTGTTGTGAAAACGTCCATAAATGTAGCATCCTGCTGAATGGCCATCTGGCTCTCAATCAGCCAAGTTCCCTTTTTGTCAGTGTGACGACCCTGTCTGCCTGTGTGGCTGCTTTCCTTGCAGGTGTGGCAGAGGATCGTCAGGCAGAGTGGGGACACCTGAGGCAATTAACAACACTAGCCCTGTGTGCCAGTGCACCCTTTATAAAAACCCTCTGGATCCTCAGTTGGGCTGGCTCCTTCCTGAGACACCCACTTTGGTTTCGGTTTGTTTTTACAACACTGCATATACACTTTACATGCACCCACTCACTTACACTGCTGAAATGACTGACTTCACATGTCACTGTTAGTTTGTTTGTCTTTTTCGTTACTTTAAACTTAATAAATAATGAATCAACTGCTTCATTGAATGCGTCTCCCTTTGTTGTCATGGCCGTTCGGCCCGGTTTGTGACATCAGTCAGTCAAGTGTCTGTCTGCTAACTCACTAACTTGTTTTTGGTGGTTTATGAAGCTTTTCCATCATTTCTATTTGATGAGATGAGATTCCTGAGATGACGCATGCTGTCATAGCTGCATGAACAGAAACATGAATTTGCAAACCTGAAATAGTTTGGCATTATGTGTAATAACTTTATTCTACAACATGTTGATTTTTCACCCAGCTGTTATGGCATTAATGCCAGCCAGGCAGAATGAAGCTCTGTCTGTCATAACGGTTGGTCGTACTTTACTCAAGGCCTTTCTGTCACACTGGTGACTCTACATCCATCTGAAGGCAGCGGGTGTCGGACTCTTCTGCAGTCTCTAACTGGAGAGAAGTCAGGCCACAGTCACGCGTGGCAGATCCACTGGTGACATTATGTGCAACCAGCCTCATACAATAATCTGTA